GACTGGTAAATACTTAGAAAACAGCAGGTGGCCAAACCAAAAAGAACTATCGGTTAAGAAAAAAGTGAAGGAAACGGAGACTGACATGTGGAGAATGGGCATGATTAAGAAGTCCGCACTAGAGATCTATCGAACTTTTAAGCAGGAAATTGCCAAGGAAAGGATCTATGATAATACTCGGGGTAGTTCTCTACTGTTTTAGGCCAGGACGGGAGTACTGCGAACCAAGACATATCGGGCCAAATACGAAGGGGTCGACACAGTATGCAGTGCGTGTGGAGAGGAAGAAGAAACTGCTGAACACTTGATAATGTTCTGTAAAGGGCTTCACCCTATAGCTCAGGATGATGGCGCAGAGTTTTTCAAAGCACTGGGATTTAGGGACAGCGAAGGCAAAATAGACTTTAAGCGGGTAGACTTAACTAGAAGGAGGTTATCTGATTGGTGGCTAAAGTCAAGGCACGAGTGAAAATTAAACCCTTCACTGCGAAGTACGAATCCTCAACTTCATTATTTAAGGGAAAAAAAAAAGATAAATGTAATGGTTAGTTCACTAAGTATTACGGCTAGGTGGCGTTAGCCGCCGCCCGATCTAAAGGGTACAGCCACATCCATCCATCCATCCATCCATGAAACGGTGCAAGATGTTATAAACTAGATGGTGGTACCTGTAGTTGTTGATGAAGGACGCGAGTTGTTATAAAATAGGAATGACGTCACATAATGCGCGTGTCATTGGTGGAAGGCAATCGTTCAATTTAGTGCGGCGACCTACGCTAGGGGGAGCGTTGTAATAAAATCGAGGGAGACAATTTTCGGAGGATTCATGGTTTACCAGGTTTACCTCCGGAGCTTCTCCCACTCATCAAGATACACTTCGTGGATATGGCGGCCCTTTCTTTTGAATATTTGCTTTACTGTTTATTTGTCCTATGTTGATCATGTCACATGTTAGATAGATGAAGGAATTCTCATTTATCATGAAAGCACTGCTTGGTCACAATTGTAGCAGATAAAATTAATGAGAACACTTGAGTTCTTGTTGTTTGATTTATTCGAAATAAGCTATCGTTTCTGGTTGATCACCCAGCATTAGAGAAAAGACAAGAGAAAAACGTGTAAAAAGCCACTTAGAAAGAAAACACAAGAGAGGTCTCATAAAATCAACAGCACTCAAGTGTTAAGTGCAGCGCTTTGAAATGGAGTTCTCAATGTTGAGAAACGATGCACGACAATCGAAGAAAGCGTGGCCACCGGGAACAGCAGTTCATCATCCCCGATGTCCCATTTATCGGATTCATTGACGACGCATAGGTTCAATTGATTGCTTCTAGCATAATTAAGCAACAAATAATTACACTTGAAAACCGAAAATCCTGGGAAAGGCCCAAAAGCTGGGCACACTGAAGCCATGGGTACCTATTATATTTTATACAGTCTGCGAGTTCAGGAGAACAAACAGGTTCTTAAACAGACCACACACAATAAAATGACAGCACATACGTTCAATATGAAGAAAAAGATGCTATGTATGCCGTTGTCAGACAGCGGCTACATGATTGATTTGATTGATTTGTGGGGTTTCACGTCCCAAAACCACCTTATGTATATGAGAGACACCGTAGTGAAGGGCTCCGGAAATTTTGACCACCTGGGGTTCTTTAACGTGCACCCAAATCTGAGTACACGGGCCTTCGACATTTCCGCCTCCATCGGAAATGCAGCCGCCGCAGCCGGGATTCGAACCCGCGACCTGCAGGTCAGCAGCCGAGTACCTTAGCCACTAGACCACCGCGACGGGGCAGCGGCTACATGATAGAAACACACCACTGTGACGTGAACAAAGTTTGAAATGCGCCAAAGTTTCCCACAGATTTTAAACTTGGTAGCTGTGTTTTTGCTGAAACATCCAAACGCATTTTTTCACTAAAATGAGTGAATTTTATACCAAATTTGGTATCACGTGAAGTGAATGATCCACAAAAGTAACTGAAATGTCCAAACATGATAATGATGGCATGCATGTCATGTAAAATATGACTACATGCTGTGCTCATAGCTCAATCGCGACAGTTTCGCTAGCTCCACATATACCAAATTTTGTAACATGTGACGTGAATAGACGACGGAGGTGAATGACATGTTCAAGCATAATAGCCATGACAGTGACGTACGGCCTAGTTTACTTCCGCATCGTGATGTTGTGCTGAATTTATAGTGACATGAAGCTTTTCTTACATGACACGCATGTCATGATTATCATGTTTGAACCAGTCATATACCTTCGTCATCCATTGATGTCACGCGACACAAGTTTGGTATATGTGAAGCTAGCGAAATAACCTCGAGCGCACTATAAGCGTAGCATGTAGTCATGTGTTGCAGGACACGAATTCGATGAGTATCATGTTTGGGCGTGTCATTTACCTTCGTCGTCCGTTGGCGTCGCGTAGTACCAAATTAGGTACATGTGACGCTAGCGATACGACCGTGAGTGGGCGTGGTGTGTAGCCATGTCTTACATGATATGCATGTCATGATTTCCACGTAAGGTCTGTCACTTATTTTCGCCATTCAGTCATGTCTTACCAAACCAGTTTTGCACTATACCATGGGAACGAAACCATCACAAGGGTAGCAAGACCATGAAATGTAAATCATGACATTCATGTCTTCATTTTCGTGTTATGACAAGTCACTTATGCTTGTCATGCTGTCATGTTGTGTATTACCAATTTGGGTATCGATACCATTATTGAAATGGCCACGAGAGCTAAAAGTCGTAGGTGGCTAGATAGATAGATAGATAGATAGATAGATAGATAGATAGATAGATAGATAGATAGATAGATAGATAGATAGATAGATAGATAGATAGATAGATAGATAGATAGATAGATAGATAGATAGATAGATAGATAGATAGATAGATAGATAGATAGATAGATAGATAGATAGATAGATAGATAGATAGATAGATAGATAGATAGATAGATAGATAGATAGATAGATAGATAGATATAGATAGATAGATAGATAGATAGATAGATAGATAGATAGATAGATAGATACGCTCAAAGTGACCGAAGTTTGTTAAGAAACTCTTCGCATTTAAAAGTGGAGTATTCAAAGAGTAGTAGTGCTACACAACAATAATCGTCATTCGACTTCCTCGCGTTTCCTTTCTTGTTCTTGGAAACCCGGCGCTGGTCAGTTTCCTATCGGGAATGCTATATGACATTGATAACACGCGCGCCTTTCGCCACTGCGAACTACCGGAACAATGGTGATAGCAGGAGGAAAGTACTCAAAGTAGAGGACGATTCGGATTTAGGATTTTATTGAGGTTGTTTTGATTACATTTCATGAAATGCACAACACTGATTAGACCCATAGCCATAGGCTAGTAGGGGGTCTAACGGGAGAAAGTATACGAGCAGAATACAATTCGTATATAAAAAAAAATCGGAACATCAATAAAAACTTTTTAAGAAAACAAAATTACACGACAGATTTCATTGGTATTTAAGGTGACGTAAATGCTTGATAGAATGTACAGAAATGTATAGAGAACACATTGTTGCACTTTATTCATAAATAATCAAATAAACAAGTACAGATGAAACATCAAACTATGTGTAAGGTTTTGTACATGGTCAATACTATCGTTCTGCATGTTGCAAATATTTTTGAGTGTGCTCGCGAAAGCCCTAAAACTTTTTATCTGAAGTGGTATGTTACTCCACACTTTAGCTCCTACGAACTGTAGTAAGCGTTCACCATACACGTTTTTAGTAGGTGGAAGAATACAATTCCACGATGTCATGCATTATTGTTGTGTTGCAGTAACATTCCCCAAATACTCAACATTTTAAGAGTGTACGCCGACAAAAATGGCGCTTTTATTTAAGCTGAAGCAAGCTCGTACACGACAGCAAGCATATCTTGCGAAGTATATTACAACTGCAGGTGGAAATATAGCAGTTACTACATTATTCAAGGTGATCTACTTTGTCAGCCGCTTTTAATTAGAAACTATACATAAATAGTAATCAATTTTCCTGACTGAACGTTATCATAAATGTCACGGTGAATATGTTGGATTGATGACACTGACGTTTCGGCGACACTGCAGTTCTAGGTCAGAACGCCATCAGCATGTCTTAAATACAACATTAGTCCTGTAAGTATTTGTACGGCATGTATCTGTACACACCGATGATGAAACCACAAAAAGCAACACGTGACTTCGGGCACTTTTTGTCATCGCTTGGTACAAGAAAAAAAAGTTCAAAGATTGTTCGTTATTTTGAATATGTAATTTGGTTCCAGTACCGAATCGAATAGGACATTATTCGACTCGTCATTCGAAGTATGCCAATATGCGTACACCACTAATGGGTGTGTACACATGTGGACACAGATTAGAAAGCAGAAACAAAAATGACAACTCCCACCTAAAGGGGCAAAACGCCTGCCTAATTTTTTGTGTGTGAGGAACAGAATGATAGAGGAAAGGCAGGTAGGAGGAAAAATAAATGGGTAAAGAATGCTAGGATTGCTAACAAAGAAATTATGAAGAATCGGGTAAGAATAAGTCGAAACCACGAGAAAATGACTATAAATGGGTGGTGTATCCGCTACTTTTTTTTATTTGATAAAAGAAAAAATTGCACGAGGATATAAACTCTCAACGAAATGGCCAGCCAAGGAACTAAATTAAGGCAAAAACTGCTCTGCCACTGAGACATACTGTTCAAAAACTTCAGCTGTGCCTCTGGCACCATTTACTATGACACAAGTCAAGTAAGCTCCTTTTTGAAAAAAATAGGATTCCTCGGCATCTTTACTTTCGTAATATTTCACGATACTGTCACCTCGCGCGTGAAGCGGCAGTCATCGAGCCATGTAAAGCTTCTCGCGCAGTAAGGTTCAGGATATGGCACCACCTTTGCACAGCTGTAGTTACTTAGCTTGAACATCATCGCTCACCCACAGCATCACCAGGTATCCTCTCCAGAACCACGTTCAGGTCGACTTCGGATGTCACGCTTTATTAATAATTCACCGAGGTCATCAGCCCCATCCACATCTCCCGAAACGACGTCGTGGCAGAACCTCCCGAACGTTCGATTCACCACCAGCGCCACAGCACCCAGCACACCAACGTAGACTAACACAGCCATCATGTGCCACGCGAATGCGCTGGCAGCCAACATCATGGCCATATGGCTGTCCACGTCCCAGGGATTGTGGCCGTAGAGGATGAAGGCGATCTGCCATATCCAAGTGGCTTGCAAGAGGCAAAAGTACGCTCTACCCAGGGATACCAGTACGCTCTGCGGCCGACACATCTCGGCTATGATGCAGACCACCACCGCGGCTATGGTGTACACCAAGAGGGTGTGCACCATGACGTCTAGGGGCGGCCTTCCGTGCACGTGGAAGTAGAAAAGCAGGCCCTCCGAGGCGACGGCAAGCAGCAGCGACACGTAGTCCGTGTGCCGCGGAAACGGGAACCCGGCGTTGTACAAGACGTCCACGATGCCGCTGAGAAGATAAAACGCGTACATGCTTTGTGCTGGGTGACTGCCGCGTCTTCGGTGCCACCTAGTGCCGTTATAGCGTGAGCCTCGCTGGCGATGCCGTAGGAACAGGTGACGATCTTCAAGATGCCTTCTATGCTGAACTTCCGTGAGAGGCACGGCACCGGGTACGAGCAACGGCATGCGAAGGGTTGTTTGTTCTGCCTGCTGCGGATGTAGTTGCGCCACATCGCGAAAGCCCACCATGTACCGAAAATGAAGAGGAATGTTCCGGGAATTGCGTGGCCTATGAAGGTGCCCATGGTTGTTCAAGAACCACTGGACGACGGTGACGTTGGAGGTGGCTCCTACTTCGCACTTGTACTGCAAAGTAATGGAAGAGAGGCAAACATATAGAATTAAGTTTCATCGCCGGTCAGTTGTCGACGCTTCTGACTATGATTATCCTATTCGAAGATCATTGTATGCTTAACGCTGGGGACAGGTCACGAAGGTAGACGTCGAAAACACAATAATGTAATGTAAGTGCATTAACTATATGGCGTGCATGTATGAAACATTGTGGTGAAAAGAAATAACACATTTTTGCTGCCTTTCTTTGCAGCTTGAAAAAAAATGTTCTAAGAAGCCTTTTTTTTATTACAAAAAGTGCAAAGGGGGTTTCCGAAGACGCTCTCGAACTTCGAAAATTTCATTTGTTGTCTAAGGTCAATATTTATCAAATTAGTTTACTAATTCTAAATAACAAATTATTTATTTACAAAACCAAAAAGTTGTCCGTAGCACGAAAAGTGGCTGTAAGCGATATGCAAATGATTTCACTCGGCTACCTCTCATACTGTATTTTTTTAACCCTTAGCAAAATATAGCTGTGACACCCGGTATGTGTTTTTCTTTATACTTCGATAAAATTCTGAGTTCATTCTTCGTGCAGTGTCCTAGTATTTAGTTTCTAGCTTTTCAGCCCTTTCGGTTTACTGCTGAAGGTCGATCATCCTCTGTACACTTTACGCAGCTGACGTATGCGCCTTCTCGATATTTATGCGTCGCTTTCACATTACACGCAGAAACTCGCTACGTGTAAACACTTTAGTGCAGCTAGCAATCAACCTTGTCCCTTTTTCAGAAGAAGCCATGGAGCATATGCCTTTCCCTGGCGGGCAAGCCGCAAAACGCCTCTTTGCCTCGGATGCTTTCCTTCTAGCAATGCCAGTTCTCCCGGATCCTATCAACACGGTCAAGGGCAGCACGGAATTCAATGTCGACAGGAAAGCTGCTCGGCTTGACAACATACAACCAAAATAATTTTCTTGACGCGTACGTGGCGTGCATCTCATTAGCATTGCCCGAAGGACTCCGAACAATTTCGTAGAATCTCACAACTAATATTTGAACAGCTACACGCCAACGTATTGATAAACATTTACTTGAGATATTCTTCAACACACGAAAGAGACGCAAGCGGAGTAAGTACTGCATGGTTCATATTGTCAGACAGACCTGTTGTAAAAGCCGTCGAGAACCAACCAATCGCATGCTCGCGAGCCAGATGCCTCTATGCATAGTCGTGTCCTGACGTAACCACATCGGACACTGATGGGCCCGCGACAATCACGCGGACTACTGATGGGACTGTTACGTGCGACCCATTTTCAAAGCAGTTTCGATTTTGCCTATCTATCTATCTATCTATCTATCTATCTATCTATCTATCTATCTATCTATCTATCTATCTATCTATCTATCTATCTATCTATCTGTCTGTCTGTCTGTCTGTCTGTCTGTCTGTCTGTCTGTCTGTCTGTCTGTCTGTCTGTCTGTCTGTCTGTCTGTCTGTCTGTCTGTCTGTCTGTCTGTCTGTCTGTCTATCTATCTATCTATCTATCTACACACAAGCCGACAGTTCACCGCAGAAACGATTTCAAATAATCTATACCGTGCACATTTAATTTATAGTTATTAAATCATATGAGTTGCGAAACTCCCGATAGGCTCCATGTATCAGAAATCGGACACGTCGTTGGCCCCTATGTTGGGAGTTAGCAGATCGTCGCGCCACCTGTTGATTTGCATGCCCAGTAATAAACGCATTATTGATGTTTTTGTTCCTAGGTGACGCAAAAGTCAGCTAATTTTGAGAAATCGGGCTATCTACGTGTCCGGGTTTTAGAACACAGTTTCGCAACTGGTATAATTGAATAACTCTCTATTTACTTGTCACGGGGCCTTACTTACGTTCAGTGGCGCACGTGGGTTCTGTACCGTAATGCTGACCAAAGAAACGGACGAAAAACGAACGGCGATGACACGCTTAGAGACAGCTGCTGTTTAAAAGCCTGATAAGTTGAGAAGAATACAGAAATGCCACCGCTTCGAACAAGCCAGCAGCACGTGTTCCCGACTGCTGTACTTAATACTTCCGCGACGTCTTAAAATCAACATTTTTTTTTTCAATTCACCCTGCCCTTTAGTAACCGAATCGTTTTGATGCTAGCTTGATTTTTAGTTTTTGTTTCTTCTTTTTTTTTCCCTTTCACGATAAACATCTGTGAAAGCTGTAGCCGCTAACGACATTTAAAATCGAGCATTATTTCAATAGAGAAGGAATTTGTGGACCTCGATTTTCAAGAGATGCGTTGACTGAGTCATCCACCTAACTGTTCAATTTATGTGTTAAACTACAGCAAGTTATGTCTACTCGAGTTTCTGCATTGCCGCTCATTTTGAGTCTGCTTATTTGATTTTAAGCCATCACTCTTCCCATATTCTGATCAACAGTCTTATTTCTTAAGGTAGATGGGCATTATTAATCGACGAACAACAAGGACAACAGTGCAGATGATTTACTGTGTGAGGGCTGGGTGGGCTATAGGCATGAAGGCTGAGGCAATGAAAACGAGAAGAACGCGCTCTATTCCAACATACTGAAAACGTGCCGTCCGTGCCGAAAGCGGGAGCGAGATCTTGGGCCTGCAGTTGAGCTGCCATAATGGCGCCACAGGTGGTGCTAGTGATTAGCTAGGCCACCTGTGGCCTAGCTAATTTAAACAAATAAGTGCTTTATGCACCTCAATAGACAAGAATGAATAAAGTGGCGCAATGGCTCCATTTTCACAACAAGAGTGGGAAAGGGCTGAGAAAAGGGTTTTTAGTAGTACATCAACAGGCCCAGATGGCATTCCAATTATGCTGATAAAGACATTAGGTCCGAAGTCTAAGCAGGCTTTGAGAGAGGCAGTGAGCAAAATATTAATCGATGGAGAAGTTCCCGATGAATGGAAACTTAGCAGGATGAGCATGATCTCTAAAGGAAAGGGGGACAAAGCTGACAAACAACTACCGTCCTATAACAGTGGCATCAGTGGTCTACAGGCTGGCGATGCAGATTATAAAGGAAAGACTGCAGACATGGATAGAGAATGAGGGGGTGCTGGGGGAACTGCAGAATGGGTTTCCGAAACACAGGAGATTGGAAGACAATCTGTTCTCACTTAAGCAGTGCATCGAAATAGCGGAAAAGAAACACAGGCCCCTGTTGCTAGCATTTTTGGATATCAAGGGAGCGTACGATAGCGTGGTTCAAGAGGAATTGTGGGGAATACTGGACACACTAGGCGTGGAAGATGTAGTCACTAATCTTTTAAAGGATATCTATAAAGGTAACAAGGTAATTATAAAGTGGGAAAAACAGGTATCCAAGCCAGCAGAGGTAAAACGGGGGCTTAGGCAGGGGTGTCCCCTGTCACCCTTATTATTCATGATGTACCTACAAGGATTGGAGGCCAAATTAGAGGGAAGTGGACTGGGCTTCAACCTCTCTTTCGTGAAACAAGGAAAACTCATTGAACAGGCACTACCAGCATTGATGTACGCAGATGATATAGTGCTAATGGCCGACGACAAGGAAGATTTGCAGAGATTGATGGACATCTGCAGTAATGAGGGAGATAGGTTAGATTTTAGATTCAGTAAGGAAAAATCAGCAGTCATGATTTTCAATGACAACGAAGGTAGTGAGCTTATAATACAGGAGGTCACGCTAGAGATAACAGATAAATACAAATATCTGGGCATATGAATAGGCAATGGGGTCAAGTACCTAAGGGAACACGAAATATACGTGTCGACTAAAGGTAACAAAATGCAGCGGTAATGAAAAACAGGGCACTGTGGAATTACAATAGGTATGATGTTGTTAGAGGCATATGGAAAGGGGTCATGGTTCCTGGTCTGACGTTCGGCAATGCGGTCTTGTGCATGAGATCAGAAGTTCAAGGAACGTTAGAAATTAAGCAACGTGGAATAGGTAGGCTCGCCTTAGGCGCTCACGGGAATACACCAAATGAGGGAGTACAAGGTGATATGGTATGGACATCATTTGAGGGCAGGGAAGCTAGCAGCAAGATAAAATTTGAGAAGCGATTGAGAGAAATGGGAGAGGAGCGTTGGGCTAGGAAGGTATTCAGCTACTTGTACATGAAGAATGTCGATACAAAATGGCGGAAGCGAACCAGAAAATTGACTGGTAAATACTTGGAAAACAGCAGGGGGCCAAACCAAAAAGAATTATCGGTTAAGAAGAAGATGAAGGAAGCTGAGACCGATATGTGGAGAATCGGCATGATTAAGAACTCCACACTAGAGATCTATCGAATGTTTAAGCAGAGAATTGCCAAGGAAAGGATCTATGATAATACTCGGGGTAGTTCTCTACTGTTTGAGGACAGGACGGGAGTATTGCTAACCAAAACATATCGGGCCAAATACGAAGGGGTAGACACGGTATGCAGTGCGTGTGGAGAGGAAGAAGAAACTGCCGAACGCTCAATAATGTTCTGTAAAAGGCTTCACCCTATGATGATGGCGCAGAGTTTTTCAAAGCACTGGGGTTTAGGGACAGGGAGGGCAAAGTAGACTTCAAGTAGGTAGAATTAACTAGAAGGAGGTTATCTGATTGGTGGCTAAAGTCAAAGCACGAGTGAAATTAAACCCTTCACTGCAAAGTACGAATCCTCAACCTCACTATTTAAGGGAAAAAAATAAATCTAGTTTTTGGTTGATTAAGTATTAGGGCTTGGTGGCGCTAGACGCCGCCCGATCTAAAGGGTACAGCCATATCCATCCATCCATTCATCCAGCCGCCACGCTACCATGCGTGCGGGTGCTCACATCCGGCCCCTCCTTGTTGAACGAAGTCCCTTTGGTCTGGAAAAGGGGCACTGCTGGGTGGCTTCTGCGATATAACTAGTCCTTCAAGTGCTCGGGCCCTTGTCTGAGGCATTGCAGGCTCTATATACGCGTCGCATGGTTCTTCACATCCTCCGTCATTGGCTAGCTTTTGACCAAGCAACGATGTGTGATGATGTCATCATGTGACGTCACGACGCAGTCGGGTGATGTCACTCATAGCGTCACGCTACATTGAGACCACATATCGCGAATTATACATAGTGTGCACGTGCGTCACGCAGCGCCGATTCGTCACTTCCGAAATGCGCCACCGACATGCCTAGGTACCTACTGACTCCGTGGGCGACCGCTGCCGTGTTGTTTCCTCGTGCGTGCGCCCATACAGTTTTGCCTAACGATGCAAGTTGGAGCAATTATCAGCTGCTGGTGAGGCAAATTGATATAACAGTCCACGAAGAGCGAGCAGAGCGTCAGGGTGTTCTATGTGCCGAAAGTTATTACCTAAAATTGAGAACGCACACTGCGATTTTCCGAAAAGCACCGGCATGTTTGGCTGGCAGAGATTAACAAAAACGACTTGAAGAACCAATTATATTTGCGTCTTCAGGCGTAACTTCATTACGGGTAAGTAATGAAGTTACACCCGAAGCACCTACCTGCAAACAGAGATAGGTACTGAATATACAAACTTGTTCGCGACCGCTACGCGCACAATCAGCGTGTCAAATGAAGCGGTTAAAATTGTGAAGGCAATCACGGGAATTCGGATATTGCATTCAAACAAAGTGTGAAAATTGATGTGAAACAATATTCGTTCACTCGCGATTTAAATTATAGGCGCACTCGCGATTTGAAGTACAGGCGATCGGTTCAAGTTCGGGGACAGGTTTTTTTTTTTTTTTAAATTAGTCTATTGATTCCCTAAAACGGTCTGCATCATTTTCACGGACAATACTGTACATTAGCGCACAACAACAAAAGTAATATACAAGGTAAAAAATGAGTGATGACATACGCGAAAAAAAGAGACCGGCATCAGCGCAGCACGCACCACGTGAAATCTCTACCTTGCATAATATATTCCTTGGCTGTTTCCACGAACTTCAATCAAAGGCGCTCAACATCATCACTGTTTAAAACACTCGGGGAGCCGCCTTGCTACTTTGGTGGTGTGGGTCGCAGCTACATATTAAAAGTGGTATTAATAATATATATCCTGTAAACTTACCTAGCTCTGCACGATGACTCATTTTCGATGGGAGCTGCGCGCTTCGCTCACCACGTTTAAAATTGCGGCTCGAGAGAATTTGAGCTTTCACTTGTTCTTAGACCACGCAATTTGTAGCGAAAGCGATATAATGGGCCCTCTTAGATCGTGGCGGGCAGCCGGTGTACGCGGTGGCTGCTATACGTGTGACACGTTTCGATTTTTCGGTCTTGTATCGAGTGAACAAGCGAGCCTTCCTGACCCGATGAGCTCGTTAAAGCGTGACAACAAAAAAACCGCACGGCTTCTCTTCAAACATCGCGCACAGCAACAGATGACGAGCCCTCAACAAACCGCGCTGAAGCACGCAAACTGTTGTAGGTACTAGAGTGTACTAAAACCTATTCTAGTACACTGTAGTAGGTACCCAGCGAGGTACCCGGGCATGGCGGGAGATGGCGACAACGGCGGAAGTGACATCACATGAACACTGTGTATATCGGTAGGCACTGAATAAAAGCTGGGAAAACTGAAGAACGAAATTATATTCGAAACAAGCTACTGTTACGAACAATAAAGTTTATTTCAAATCATTTTTGAACAATTGGCTTTATTTTTTAAATTTTTGGTGGATGTGAGCACGCAAGCCGTGACGTCACATTCTCTGAGGAGCATGGAGGGTGCACGTGTTCTTGTCTTCGTCTTCCTTTTTTTCTCTTCCTTCCTAACTTCTCTAGTTCCGCAGTTGTAGTAGTGGTTCAGAGGAAGAGAGAAACAAGGCGCTAACCTATGTAGCCCATGAGAGAGCATGGCTAAGCGCTATGAGGGATGTGTGAAGGGGGAGACAGGGAAGGAATAAGAAAGGTAGCCCACATAGAGGGTGCTACACGTGGATTTTGTGAAAAGAAAACAATAAATTTTTTATTTTTCTTCAGTTATTTTGTTTTCCTGAAATTGTGGTTGTCTATCAATTAGAGAACTCATTGTTTTAGTGTGCTGGAGAAGGCAATCGAAAAACAAATTAAGTAAAGCGCAATATAAGAAAATACCAACACGTGCAATGAAAAAAAAAAACACATTGAGGTCCCTGAATGACGTCATTTGTCTTTAAACAGATTTCCCATCAGCCGAAATAGCTCAGTTGGGAGAGCGTTAGACTGAAGATCTAAAGGTCCCTGGTTCGATCCCGGGTTTCGGCACTATTTTTCTTTCATCGTATGCGCTAGTTTGACTAAAAGAAAAATTGCCTTTCTTTTTAGGGCTATGTATTGATCTTCCCTCGTCCCCTCCAAAAGCTTTCGGCGCCCCTGACCCACCTTCGATAGTGCGGCGATGTTGTATGACGACGTCCATAAAGTAACAAAAGTTTGACGATTAGTGACCAAATTTTGTATATATAACATTGTGTTAATTTTTCGCACTGCTCGTGTGGACGCTGAAGACAAATATTCGCGTTTGACGAGACATAAAAACTTTACTTTGTAGTTACGAAAAATTTTTCGAAACCTGGGATCAAACCAGGGACCTCCAGATCTTTAGTCTGACGCTTTCCCAACAGAGCTATTTCAGCAATTGGCGCTTCGGGATCATAAAGAATACAGACACCCCGTAAAAAAATAATTTTGTTTTGAGAAGTTGGGGTTTAGAGCACGGTTTGTTGCACAAGCAGTCGCTGTTTCATGCATTTATGCAGCTCGAGACTGGAGAAAGGGTCACACTAAAAAAAATGCATGTGAAGGGAAAATAGCGTGATATGGACGCTTGGACAACATCGCTTGCTGCTACATCGCTCACCAAGGCACACGAGTGATTGGCCGTGGGTCCATGCATTAAAGCTACAGTGTCTAGAAGTATACTACCAGTACATTTCTAGACACTGTATTAAAACCGCAGGGTGCCACCATGATGGAACAATATTTAGCTTTCGGGTGACGTTCACTCGTACTCTCCCCTATATGCTGCAATAACCCCTGGCAGTTTTTGTGTTTTGCGGATCTCTGTTACATCGCAGCAAGAAAATGTCACATGAAGTCGAGTTTTTGGCTCGTGGTAACAAAGAACACGGATGACGAGGCTTCACTCGGAGCGCAAGCAGCGTGATCGGCCGCACCGGCACGCTCTCAACATAACAGAGTCTTTTAAATGTTAAAAAAAAAAAAACTCCAATACCAACTTTACAAATATGGCGACGTCATCCTCTAAACAAATATGAAAATGCTCCATTCCGCGCGCAACACATCGCGTAAATGGCCAGTGGTATCTCTCCTAAAAGTAGTTAATATAGACTTCATACCATTTTCGTTTTTTTAAAATGCGTGAACACGCCTGTTTATACACAGTTTGTATTAAAATTGAGTGTTTAAACGTCTAAATTTATTGTTTATCTAATTTATTACGATAACAACATTGAATTGTCCCATTATGTCAGCGCTTTGATAGTTATATCCTGATCCTATATATTACTCTATTGTTATAGCAACTCTTTTTCTCGAGGGTCAGTATAATCAAGGAGGTTTAAATAAAAGCAAATATTATTTTAGCCTCCTTGAGTATAATACCTTTATACTTTATGCCTTTGGCGTCCGAAATTTCTGAGCAGAGCGGCACGGAGGCGCCACATCTCGGAGGTCACGGGAAATCAGCTGCTCGTCGCATGCCGGTCTCCCAGTTTCCGGCGGCATTCGAAAAAAACATGGCCGGCTTGAGGCAAACGCCGCTCACTTGTTCGGGTCACACCCGCCCCGTGGTGGACCTGTGTTTCTCACAGTTGTCTCCGACGGGAGCCTACTACCTGATCTCAGCATGCAAAGGTGAGCGCGGCCAGGCGCTTCGTGAGATCCGCCACCGGTAGTGGTAGAATCAGGGCTACGTGTTACGATGCGAAACGCTCTTTCATTCCTTGATTCCATGTGCTTCGCTCAGAACGCCGCTTTCACCGCGAAGCCCTCATTTGTAAAGCTTATGCCATGCTTTATTTCTTTATCCTCCCCCTATAAAGGTCGTTGCATTGCGATGTTCTTACTATTTGTTGTTCGTGCGTAGTTCTAGTGTTCTGTGTTCGTAACTGCGTAGGTATGCTGCCTGTAATACCAACCGTCCGTCACGCAGAGATTGCGATTGCAGTTAACGTTATGTGTCTTCAGCGCTGACACAAAAAAGGAGGTTTGTATGGGCACGCCAGCAAACATTGACATGCCGAGGCTGTGTCTTGTGTTCATTGATGCCCCCAAAATACTGATCGCACCTGTCGGTTGCCAAGTCATGAATCGTGCGGTGTTTAGGAAAGGCGGCTGCAGAAAACTTGGTAAATGTTTGACGCCTTGGTTTAAGAATGTTCATAGGCTCTACATGTTAAGTATCTTGTGACACGTAAACTAGACGTACTCGGGAACGGTCTTAAATGTCAAAAGATTTAATTGTTGGGCGTAAACTGAGTAACATGGCTTGCTCGTTTGTTCAGGCGGACGCAAGGAGCCACGTAAAGCTAGGCTACGCCGGATATCGTTAAGAATTCTCACTGAACCACAAGCCTATATGTGAAGTTTCGAGGTATAAATCACGGTGCTTACACATATGCAACATCTTCAGCCTCTACACACACCGTGAGGTTGACATAATAATAATAATTGTCGGGCTTGAACGTCCCAAAACCACCATGTGATTATAGACACCGTTCAGTCGAGTCTTCCAGTCTGACTGCAGCGCCAGAATACATAGCCCAGAAAATAAAAAAGGCAATTTTGAGCAACGCCTCCTGCGACATTGCATGCTTTTCCCTAGAGATGGGAAGTTCTTTGTTGTTCAGTGCTTTCTCCACAAGGAGCACTTGAAGCCAACACTACTACTGCTACTGGATTCGGAAACATGACCATATTGCCTTCAAGACGGCAGTAGACATTGCTTCAATCTCAGAGGCTGCAGGCTTAAAGTGGTCGTCGCAGTGAGTGCTCGCAGCTGACGCTGTTTCAGGGAGCTAAGGAGGAGAGAACAGGAGAGGGCCAGGAACATTCTCTTCGGCTCAAGTCGCAGGCATCTTTCAAGAGGAGGCGTTGTGTTGAGACCGCTTTTGTGAAAATGGAACGCGACATGCGCGTCTCGCACCCTGCGTCTGTTGGCGGATTGTGGCCGGGATACATGAAGGACGCATGCATGTGCTTATTTTCTGCATACCAATATTGGCGAATGTCAGAGACTTTCAGACTGGGCAGTGTGAGCAACGCAGCTCTCTCTGGCCACTGTGCGGTGCCTACAAGAGACACCGTAGTGGAAGGCTCCAGAAATTTCTATCATCTGGTATTCTTTAACGTGCACCTAAATCTAAGCACAAGGGCTTCAAGCGTTTTTGCCTCTATCGAAAATGCGGCCAGGATTTGATCCCCCCACCTGCGGGATCAAATCCTGGCAGGGTGTTTAGCCACTAGACCACCGTGTGAGAACCAGCTGTGAGATTGGCCACTTTTGCCTGCGGTGACGTCGTGAGTTTCTATCATGCCTGAAACATGGGCGTGTGCGATTTTGCTTTGCGAGAGGCTCAGAAGTTTATTGATCTCGGTATGTTTTAATCACATGTTCGAGTGCAGTAGTGGCATATATTGGAGCAGATACACAGACACTGGTTAGCAATCTTTTGATTCATAGATACAGATGGTCTGCATTGGTTTGATTGTGGCCGTCATCTTGGGGTTCTAGCTTTTTGAGGAAACACGCATACAACAGTCATGACGGATGCTAGGGGCGAGAGGTCAATCGGTGACAGCGATAATCGGCTGAAAAACAGCCACCCGAAAGCACGCAGCAGTGCTCGTTTGGGATTGTGTACTTGTGTTGCCGTGTCCGCCATGTTTGGGCTACTAGAACACTGAGAAAAGCTGCTGTGTCAAGGTACGCCGATGTGCTTTGCTGACAACTTATTCTGTGTATTTCAGATGGCAAGCCGATGCTCAGACAGGGAGATACAGGAGACTGGATTGGGACATTCGTCGGGCACAAAGGTGCCGTCTGGGGGGTCGCTCTCAACAAGGACGCGTCCAGGGCGGCCACAGGAGCTGCCGACTTCACCGCCAAGGTGGGTGCCCTTGACTTTCGAACTGTGCAGATTGATTCATCCGGTAGGCATGCAAAAAGCATTCGACCTTAGAAGGACTGTGAAGAGAAAAAATGATTTCGCTTCTATCCTTCAATGTCATGAACATAGCCATAGACAGTGTTAATGAAGTACCCTCAATATCATGATTGCGAGTTAGTGTGTTGATGCAGGGGATTCATTTATATTTTGTATTGTATGCACAGGCACCTCCAGCTGAACACTGCATCTGCTTCTTATGGTGAAATGATTCTTGCAACTCTTCGGTGGTTCATAACAAGCTGAACGTGAAGTGCTATCAGAACGCATTAGTAAACTAGGGGCATTGAAAGTTGACTTCAACAATCAAAAGCCACCAAATTATTTTATGGCACCACCTTCTAGTGACATTACCTTCTTTGCCTAGTGACGTCCAATGTGCTTCTTGTCAACCACGAGACGCAAGTTGTGCCTGTGTCCAAAAGCTGGGAACTTGTCCAAAGAAAAAAAGGAGATAACAATTCAGGTTAAGGTTTATATTTCAGAGTATAAGATGAGGGCCGATTAACTGTCAGGATAATGAATGAAAATTGTGTTCATTGAAAGAGCAGATGCTTTGCTTGCGAGCACCTGGGATTGTGGTGGCCTCTGAATGAACTCTAGCAGTGTGTCCTTGCACTGCCTGAGTTGATTCAGAGGCCATACAAAGGTAAGCACAGCCGTGAAGACACAATTAAGAGTCGTGACTACGCTGAAGCTATAGAAGTCAACAGCCAAAAGTCAACATAAGGTCTAACGAAGTCTACCAGAGCTCCATGAAACACTATGGTCCATTCCAGAGGTCAGCAACCTGCGGGGCAGTATTACTTGACCCCCAGCAGAGCATTAAAGCCCCCTCCTTCCTTTTTCTAGCCACTTCTTATATGAAGGCAGACATGGCACTTTTCACCTGAAGGGGATTTTCACTTATAACCTATGCTTGACTGGAATTTTGTGACATGCGGGCTCAAAGTGAACATTGCCCCGCCGCGGTGGTCTAGTGGCTAAGGTACTTGACTGCTGACCCGCAGGTCGCGGGTTCAAATCCCGGCTGCGGCGGCTGCATTTCCGATGGAGGCGGAAATGTTGTAGGCCCGTGTGCTCAGATTTGGGTGCACGTTAAAGAACCCCAGGTGGTCTAAATTTCCGGAGCCCTCCACTACGGCGTCTCTCATAATCATCGCGGTTTTGGGACGTTAAACACCATATATCAATCAAGGGCTCAAAGTGAACATGATTTCTAATTCAGTTTTACAAATCAGTGTCAATTCGTTGAATTGTCACGCTTTGCCTACAAGACCGTGCATCATTCCCCCCCTCCCCGACATTTTTCGTATGGCCCGCCTGTGTTGGCTTCATGCAACTTGGCCCTCCGCCTCAAAAGTTGCCATACTCTGGTCTAGCGCCATTATGAACACATACATGAAACATTAAAGGGACTGATAGCTGGCATGTTGGAAGATTTAATTAGAGACTAGTGGAAATGAAGCTACAGTGACAGATTCAAGCATCCTTTTCATGAATTTAGTAGTACTTATATAATAAATCATGTTTAATATAACAAAACCGTATGTGGCATTGTGTGGAGGAAAAGCCTAGAAGGGAGTCGAGTAGTGTCATTATGGAGCTGCTTACTTTGCCGTGCTTAATGTGGAGCTTCATGCCCACCATAATGAGGTCTCAAAATTAGAGTGTGCACATTGTTACATGGTCATGACATCGACAAAGGCAACAGTCAGCGCGTCAATGAGGAAACTTGATTTGGCCGAACTTGTGCCGAGAAATTGAAAGACAGACTACAGCAATACACTCTGGCGCTGATAGCGGTGAACAGAGCGTCGGCATTTATACATGTGCCATCAAATATTCTAGCCTTATCACCAGTCATGCTGCAAGCTCTGGAATAATCTCGATGTTGAAATTGAAAATGTTAAAACTAGAAACTGACCTCACTTCTGGGGCTGATTTGGTCCCTTGTTCAGGTCCCGAAACGTCTGGTCATTTTTTAGTTTTAATTGTAGCATTAGAAAGTTTGGACTAAAAGTGGCTGTAGAGTTTACTTGTTTGCACCAGTCATTCCTGAAAACATGACTTAATCGGCCCTAATACATAGGTGTCAGTTTTTCATTTTTAGTTTTAACATGAAAAACTTTGCATTGAAAGTGGTGAGAGAGTTTATTTGAATTGTATGAATTTTTACCCAGCCAGACAGATCTCTGTCGAATATGTTCACCTTTAAACATGTTGAGTGAAGACGTATGCGCACCTAATGCATGAATGGGCAGCAAACCGCTTCGCACCATCTTGAACCGCTCTCTCTCTCTCTCGCTCCCCACTGTTTTCAGCAGATGTGCTGTGCTCAGTACATGAATGCGCAGCAAACCACTTCACACCAACTTAAACCGCTCTCTCGCTCACTCCCTGCTATTTTCAGCAGATATGCTGTCTGTATATGCAAAATATTTAGATTATAAGGGTGTCACGGCAGTTTCCCACTTTACCAATCCGTGAACATAAGCTGACCTGTAAGTTTTCTATTCTGCTCAAGAAAACGGGCACCGTAAAACTAGTTGGCAGTTCTTTAGTGTTGCCTAAATTTGCTTTTCTCCACAGCTGTGGAATGCAGTGGCAGGGGAGGAGCTCCATACGTTTGCTCACCCCCACATAGTGCGTTCCGTGGACTTTGACTCTGATGGCACCAGGCTGCTGACGGGAAGCAATGACAAGTCGCTCCGTATCTTCGACATCAACAAGACGGACTCTGGTAAGCCTTGAGAGAATGCGCAGAAGGCTGTTGCGTCAACTTATTCTAAGATGTGTCTGGTATTAACGAGACATAATTGGCTTAAATAAGTTTAACCATGTGTGTTAATTACCCTTCTACATTAGTCATAAATTGATAATCAGGACTAGAGAAGGCCTGCAACTGGAGAATGGACGAGGTTGTGGGAAGCATGGCAAGGAAACGCCTTCGATGATGAGGCCACGGCAATGCAAAATTCTTTGGCAAGAAACAAATCTTGGAGCTGTTAGTTATGTAAATAATGTCATCGTACTTATCTCAAAGGCCATATTTTTGCTCATACAAACCTGAAAATTCATGGTTGTCCTGGACCAAGTTCGAAGTGGGATTTTTTTGTGGGGAAGCAAGGAAATCAAATTTTGACGAAACATATTTTGCTCTGACACTTAGAGGTCAGGCTGCTAAGCAGGATTGAACTAGATTGAAGCAGGCCTGTGTTGCATGGTCGATCATAGTGCAGAGATGGGTGGGTGTTTTCCAAGAACGATGTGGAAATTTACAATTAGCTGTAAAAGAAGAGGGGGTGCTTATGTCGACGATTTCCGGGACCCTCAAGGGACCTTTAAAGGGTCCAGAAATACTAACACGAAATCGCACCTTTTTTTTATGGGTATTTTTCACTGAGGTAGAGGGTCATGGCAGGAGTACAAGGTTCTTGCTGCAATCCACTGAATGCATCGTTTTGGTGGCTCTGAAAAACTAATTGATTGAAGAAGAAAAAAATACGACATGGCTAGCGCTATCTCATTGCTCAACACATTAGCCCAAAAAAAGTTGCTCATTTTTTTTTGCACGGCATTCCGCTTGTTCACGATGATGTCTGCCTCAATTTCAGCTAACGTCATGCTGTCGCTATACACAGATGACAGCGTCACCCGTCCTCGCGTGAACTCTGAGCTCGTTGGCTGTGTAGCCACTGCCTCTTCGATCTCACTGTAAGAGTCATAGGAATGCCCCGTAACTCGACGAATTATTTCGTCATCGGTCGATTTCGCACACAGCTGCCTGTCTTTGTCAGCATTGGCAAAGCCCTGGAAGGCTATCCCGGCTGGAATGGAAATGCCGGCAGCGCCCAGATCGTCGAAGGCAACATTGGCAGACGGAAGTTCGTCACACACCTTGTCCACCCGGGGTGAAACTGCCGTCTCGGCGTTGAGTGTGAAACCTGTGTAGTGGCTTCCTTTTTCATTGTAAGCCTACGAGGAGGATATGTGCAGTTCGAAGGCATGGATGAAGACTAAGGAGCACTCGGCACCATCGCTGTTAATGACAAATTCACTTGACAAAGAGTGCAACACCAAACTAAAAACACATTCGATGCTGATGATCGGGAAATGTGAACGCTGAAGATATCGCTCAGCAGCACAGAATTACTGCAGAGCTGACAACGCATGAATGAACAGTCAGGTATACCACAGGTTTGGCTAAGCTATGGCTGGGAATGGATTGGCGTGTGCTAGATTGCAGCAGTTGCGATCTCGAGGGTATGGCAGCCACGGTCCGGTGCTGCTGGTCACACCTGCAATGCAGGTATGATGCTTTTGAGGGTATGAAAACAACCAATATGGCGGCATTGAGAGTCGCTTTGAGTCAGTGGTTAGCCCTAAAATGTGCAGAAAATCTCATGGCGAAGTCTATAAGCATAGAAAGTTTTGGACTTGTAAATAGATTGACTCTATGGAGAACTTAATGGTGCCACACATAAGTCCGGGAAATGTGGCATGTCCGGAATTTCGGGAATTTGAGAAATCGGACGTCGACTGTATGTACATCAGTCAGTTTGTTACATCGTATCATTTATATTGCGATAGCTCTCAGCTGGATATGAGCTTTCACCGGAACGATCTTGTTGTAGTTACCAGGTGCACAAAGGTCACTGCACTCGTTGCACAGTCTCCGTTTGGGAAAAGGGCGCGCTTTTCAGACACAGCAAAGTAACAACTGAGGTGCTTATTCGCCTTCATCTGAACCTGTCAGTACGTTTTGTGCATCATTTGTGCATGAGAAATGCGGGGCACGTTTCGTTGTACTTGCTATATTGCACGTGACCTTCCAAATTGTTGCTGTAACGTTCATTGCTTTGCGTTTGTGACGAAGCTGTGACTTTTTTCTTTTTAAGTAAATGTATACATTTTAGTTCATTGCATTACTGTAGCATACAGTGAGGGAAACGTTTTCATAGACCTTATGACCACTCATTTTTTCTTTTATTAGTGCCAACAAGCAATCTACATAACTATATTTTCAGAATCCAAATGATATGTAGAAGCTTAACAAAATAATGTTTGAAAACTGTACAACTTGAGGGAAATAAGTTGGCGTTAAAAAAATTGACTAGTTGGTGTTTTCTCCTCCCAGATCCAACTGTGATGAAAGGACACACGTCGGCCATCAAAAAAGTGCTGTTCCTTCAAGATGAAAAGCGTGTCGTGTCTGCATCAGATGACAAGACAGTCAGGTAACTAACTGCCCTTTTCTGCTGAACTAACCAATGGAAGTGGCAACCAGAGCACTGATTGCTTAGTGTCGTAGCTCGCATTATCGCAAACAGTGAGAAGTCATCATCATTATCATCATCAGCCTGACTACGTCCACTGCAGGACAAAGGCCTCTCCCATGTTCCGTCAGTTAACCCGGTCCTGTGCTTGCTGCTGCCAATTTATACCCGCAAACTTCTTAATCTCATCTGCCCACCTAACCTTCTGTCTCCCCCTAACCCGCTTGCCTTCTCTGGGAATCCAGTTAGTTACCCTTAACGACCAGCGCTTATTCTGTCTACATGCTACATGCCCGGCCCATGTCCATTTCTTCTTCTTGATTTCAGCTATGATATCCTTAACCACCGTTTGTTCCCTAATCCACTCTGCTCTCTTCTTGTCTTTAAGGTTACACCTACCATTTTTCTTTCCATTGCTCGTTGTGTCGTTCTCAATTTAAGCTAAACCCTCTTTGTAAGTCTCCAGGTTTCTGCTCCGTAGCTAAGTACCAGCAAGATACAGCTGTTATATACCTTCCTCTTGAGGGATAGTGGCAATCTACCTGTCGTAATTTGAGAGTGCTTGCCAAATGTGCTCCACCCTATTCTTATTCTTCTAGTTACTTCAATCTCGTGGTTCGGCTCTGCGGTTATTACCTGCCCTAAGTAGATATAGTCTTTTACAACTTGAAGTGCACTATTACCTATCTCGAAGCGCTGCTCTTTTTCGAGGTTGTTGTACATTACTTTCGTTTTCTGCAGATTAATATTAAGACCCACCTTTCTGCTCTCCTTGTCTAACTCCGTAATCATGAGGTGCAATTTGTCCCCTGATTTACTCAGCAATGCAATGTCATCGGCGAAGCGCAGGTTACTAAGGTACTCTTCATTAACTCTTATCCCTAAGTGTTCCCATTCTAGGTTTCTGAAAACCTCCTGTAAGCACGCGGTAAATAGCATTGGGGAGATTGTGTCCCCCTGCCTTACACCCTTCTTGATTGGTATTCTGTTGCTTTCTTTATGAAGCACTATGGTAGCAGTTGATCCTCTGTAGATTTCTTCCAGGATGTTTATATATACTTCGACGCCCTGATTCCGCAGTGTCTGCATGCTGGCTGATATATCTACTGAATCAGACGCTTTCTCGTAATCTATAAAGGCTATGTATGGTGGTTGGTTATATTCTGAGCATTTCTCTATTACCTGATTGATAGTATGAATGTGGTCGATTGTTGAGTAACATGTTCAAAATCCTGCTTGTTCTTTTGGTTGATTGAATGCTAATGTTTTCTTTACTCTGTTAGATAGCTTGTATACTACAGAGAGCAAGCTAATCGGCCTGCAATTCTTCAAGTCCTTGTCATCTCCTTTCTTATGTATCAAGATGATGTTAGTGTTCTTCCAAGACTTTGGTACTCTTCCCGTCAGGAGACACCTCGTAAACAGGGTGGCTAGTTTTTCTAACACAATCTGTCCTCTATCTTTCAGCAGATCTGATGTTACCTGATCCTCACCAGCAGCTTTGCCTCTTTGCATGCTCTCCAAAGCTTTTCTGACTTCTTCTATCATTACTGGTGGGGTGTCATCTGGGTTACTGCTAGTTCTTATAGTATTAAAGTCGTGGTTGTCCCGGCTACTGTACAGATCTCTGTAAAACTCCTCTGCTAATTTAACTATCCTATCCATATATTGGTAGTTATTTTGCCTTCTTTGTCCCTTAGTGCATACATCCGATTTTTGCCTATCCCAAGTTTCCTCTTCACTGCTTTGATGCTTCCTCCGTTTTTCAGAGCGTGTTCAATTCTCTCCTTGTTATACCTTCTTACATCGGATACCTTACGCCTATTAATCAACTTCGAAAGCTTTGCCAGTTCTATTTTGTCTGTTGTACTTGAGACTTTCATGATTTGACGCTTCTTAATGAGATTCTTCGTTTCCTTTGAAAGCTTGCCAGTGTCCTGTCTAACTACCGTGCCTCCAACTTTCACTGCACACTCCGTAATGATACTCGTCAGATTATCATTCATTGTATCTATGCTAAGGTTGGTTTCCTCACTAAGAGCAGAGTACCTGTTCTGAAGCGAGACTCTGAATTCCTGTACTTTCCCTCTCAGTGCTAGCTCACTGACTGGCTTCTTGCGTATCAGTTTCTGTTGTTCCTTCCTCAACTGTTGGCAAATTCGAGACCGTACCATTCTATGGTCACTACATCGTACCTTGCCGACACTTCCACATTCTTCACGATGCCTGGATGTGCACTCATTATAAAGTCTATTTCGTTCTTATTTTCGCCATTAGGGCTCCTCCATGTCCACTTGCGGTTTCCTCGTTTTCGGTAGAAGGTATTCAAAATCCGTAAATCATTGCGTTCTGCAAATTCTGCTAGTAGCTCTCCTCCGGCGTTTCTAGTACCGATGCCATAATCTCCTACTGCCTGGTCTCCAGCCTCTTCTTCCCTACCTTTGCATTAAGGTCTCCCATCAGTATTGTATACTGTGTTTTTACCTCACTCATTGCTGATTCCACGTCTTCATAGAAGCTTTCAATTGAAGCGTCATCATGGCTGGATGTAGGTGCGTAAGCCTGTACCACCTTCATCTTGTATCTCTTATTCAGTTTAATTACGATACCTACCATCCTTTCATTAATGCTATAGTATTTCTCTATGTTGCTGGATATGTTTCTGTGAATTAGAAGCCCCACTCCCAGTTCTCTTCTGTCAGCCAAGCCCCGATAACAAAAGACGTGCCCATCCTGTAGCACCGTGTCCTGTAGCCTCATCTGTCCTCCTAACCTCACTGAGCCCTATCTGACAAGAGAGGGTTGGTACGTTAGACTCGCTGGGCGTAACCTCCTTGGTTTTAGAAAGGTTTAGTGAGCGTTGGGCCACAGTGCCATGAATACAGTGAACTAGTATATACCATGAACTCGAGGTGGTCAAAGGAAGTAGACACGAAGTGCAAGCCGTAAGAAAGTGTGCTTGGGCCTCCTCTCGTTCAGTCCTTGGAATGTCCGCTGGATGGCGGTGCTTCTATATGAGGAATATATGATGAAAAGATGCGAGATGGTGGTACTTGGAGTGTTGAATAGGTGGACGAACGGACACACAGGCAGATGCATGGATGCACGAACGGATGGATGCATGGATGGATGCAGGAGTGGATGCATGGACAAACGCAGGGACGGACGCACAGATGTACGTGTGGACGCACGAACAGACGCACGCACGGACGGGCAGATGGATGCACAGATGGCCACACAGACGCACGCATGAACGGACGGAAGCAAGAACGAATGGACTGACGGATGCTTCGCCCCACTCTCCATCATTAACTCCGTGGATATGCTGCCATTTTTTTTATATCTACCACTTACCGCTGCTGACGGGCATCTTGGGCGGGAACTATCATGTTTTCAGCATTACCAGCAAGATGGCGCCATGAGCGTGCGTCGCCACATTGTCACGACGCGGCGGCGCATGCTCTCATCTCCTACGTATACTGTGTCCTGCGGAGAGGGGCCAGAGTGTACGCTCACGCATGTGCTTATCTTGCGGTGGAATAATCGTACGTCTTGGCTGGCCTTGGGCTTTGACCGGAACGATTTTGTTGTTGTTAATGGGTGCACAAAGGTCACTGCACTCGTTGCACAGTCTCCGCTTGGGAAAAGGGCGCGCTTTTCAGACACAGTGAAGTAACAACTGAGATGCTTATTCGCGTTCATCTGCACCTGTCAGTACGTTTCGTGCATCATGTGTGCATAAGAAACACGGGGCACGTTTCGATCTGCTTGTCATACTGCACGTGAGCTTCCGATTTGTTGCTGTCACATTCATTGCTTTGCCTTTGCGACGAAGCTGTGACTCTTTCTTTTTAGTAAATGTATACATTTCAGTGCATTGTATTACTGTAGCATACAGCGAGGGAAACGTTTTCACAGACCTTATGAGTACTTCCTTTTTCTTTTGTTAGTGCCAAGAAGCAATCTGCATAATTATATTTTCAGAATCTAAATGATATGTAGAACCTTAACAAAATAATTTTTAAAAACTGTACAACCTGAGGGAAATAAGTTGGCATTAAAAAAATCGACTAGTTGGTGTTTTCTCCTACCAGATCCAACTGTGATGAAAGGACACACATCAGCCATCAAAAAAGTGCTGTTCCTTCAAGATGAAAAGCGTGTCGTGTCTGCATCAGATGACAAGACAGTCAGGTAACTAACTGCCCTTTTCTGCTAAACTAACCTTATGGAAGTGGCAACCAGAGCACTGATGGCTTAGTGTTGTTGCTCGCATTATCCCAAACAGCGAAAAGTAATGTGATGCTTTTGCTCACTCGTTCTTGCATGTTTCGTCATGTAAACATTGTTTTTCTTTAGCGTTTGTCATAGAATATTACGTGTCCCTATGCTTGCGTTCAATTACTAGTACGCGATCACTGAAATATGTGGGGCTTATAAACAAAATGAACATAACATCGTTTTGCTCTCTGATGCATTGCTACAGCTGTCAGTACGTCACGTTTTGGGTGTGGGTGACTTCATTTTTTTTTAGTACTATTAAGTACTGTCATTCAAACACAAACCAAACTGGAGGCGGTCACAGAAAAGTTCTATTTATAATTCTCTGTATCGAATATATGTCAATGGTGTAATCAAGGGGACTTCACAGTTGTTTTGTGTACACAGTAATTTGTTAGACGTGCCTTCCATGCATGCGGGTTCGACTGTATACCATGTTCTATCACATGTAACCCGGCACCCCTGTGTGTAACTCCCATTCCCAGCTATACAGAGGGAAATTTGCTAAGCACCATCCCCGCATGTCACCCTGAAGTTGGCCTTCTTGCAGAAATTGCTGTTTCACTCTCTCCACAATGTGTTTTAGTGCTAGTTTCATGCCATAAAATATAGCAGAGGCCAACAGTGCATGCTTGTTTCAACGGAGTGTCGCTGATGAGAACACTGGGCCCTTTAGGTTCTGGGATTGCGTGAGCGGGACAGAGGTGGGCAAACTGGAATTGCCCAGTGCCCCGAGCGACCTCGAGCTCACCCCTGATGGCAGTATGCTGCTGGTCACCCATGGCCACATGGTGAGCACATGGAGCACTGAAACGTGAGTTTTCGTTTTGTGTACTTTGGCGGGAAAAAAAAAGAACGTTTAAAGGGGCACTGACACGAAGCCCTTCATCTGTCAGTTTCTTGCGCATCAAAAGAAAGACTCATGAGCCTAGAAAACATACTGTCAAGTGTCCGTGCACCTTGAGGAAGTGATTACACAGTTTCTTTAAAAGCTAGTTTCGGTTCCTACTTTTATTCCATGTCACCGCACGGTAAGAGCTTCCCATCACATGCACGATGTCGTGATGTTTCCACAGTAGTTCAACACAGTGGCTGGTGATGTAGAAACAGCCATTTTGAATGTTTTAGTGACATATGAGCGACCATTCTGGAAGTTTTCATACCGGTGTCGTTGCAGCTAGTCAGATTGCTAGGTGAAGCCACCCTAATAGTATAGTAAGCAGCCTGATATTTAGCTAGTGCCACTGTCGATAGGTGTGTCATGTGAAAAGTCACTTTACTATTCAAATACCTTATCTGCATTTGGTGAGATTCAAACTTGCTGAGAGCCATCTCTGTATACAGGGGATTTGAACGGTAGCATAAACTCGCCACGGCGAAATAATGTTGGTACCCTTTCGAGTTTTGCCTTCAACAGTGGAACGGAATAGCGTTATTGTGCCTCGTTCTCATTGCCTTATCATTTACTTGCCATGCCTCACTACTCTGTGGACGTGGCCATTCTGTTTAGCCACTATGTGTTACAGTTGTACAAGCTCGTTAACACATCTTGTAAACCTAATTGCCTTGAGCAATTGAACGCTGCAACAGCCTTCCGGAATTCGTTGTTGAGGAGTGCGACCCAGACAAATTCAAGGTGTTGTTGTCTTCTGGTTTTAGCTAACTTTCCCGCCATCCAGCTCGTCAACTAGCTTCTTTTCAGCAATAAAGTTTTCGTTTGTTCTTCTTTAAGGTATTCATTGGTGTTCGCATCGGACTGCCTACATGTTGTATTAGTTCTTACACTATTCCAGTTTACTCTGCCTTTTCTGTTTATCTGCTGTGTAATTACTTCGCTTTTTAGTTACTATTCAAACTATGCATTTGTGTCATGACATGTCCCTGATATTATTGTTCCTTCTTATGTAATGCATTGTATAGGCCTTCAAGTGTTAACAAATTATGATGATGATGAAATTGTTACCTAAAAGTGTGCAGTGGTGTTACAGTTTTATAAGTATCAATACACTTCTTGCGCGAGCCCATATCAGGCACACCGCCTACAAAAAAAGTCTGCGCAAGCCCAGCACTAATGCATGAGCCCTGCCCAGTGGGAAAAGTGGTGTAAGATTTAAAACACTAGCACGGACCTGGACTGGCCCAACATTATGATGTCTCTGTTGTGGACAGGTAAATGCTATTGCAGTAACTTACCGTCGTAAAGGGACTGAATGTCTTGCTGATGAGAGTGGGGCAAAAGACAGCGCTACTTGTTAGACAATCATTTTATCGTAGCATCTGTACTTTAAGCCTTAGCTTGGCCCGCTTCGGCTTGTCTCGATTTTTGATAATTTTGGGCTGCCAGAGCCCAACTTTAGGCTTGAACGAGCTAAAGCTTGGGCATGTTTCTATCAATTCATCAGAAAGTATTGAAAGTTAGTATAAGATTGCTATACTATATTGCTACTATATTATACAAGGCTACCTTATGGTCTGATATTGTGCCTGGATAGCCGCTGAGTGGTTGCGATGCCCGCTGTTGGATTGTGGCTAAGAGGATTTGAATCTCATTTCGCCAACAAATCTTTTTGCCAAGATTATTTCTCTCTTTCTTCCCTTCTCTCTTTTCTGTACTCATTCTCTTGCCTATCAGAGTTAACGCTCCCCACTCCAGACAAGCCAACACACGTGTTCTGGGTACAAAGCAGAAAAGGACGGAGAGGGTGCATGCCAGGTCATGATGACTATGACAATTTTCTGTCTATAACTCACGGCAAACTTCGACCATAACAGCTCTGTTGTAAAAAGTATGTACATTCGAACCCCACTACAACGAAACTGACAGGGTGCAGAAAAAATTTCGTTGAAGTGAAAATTTTCTTGTAGTGAAATCGAAAAAATATAGCTGATCTTAGCTAGCAAACCAAAGAAACGTTTATTCTCGAAATTCAAAAAGAGTCCGCTGCTTCCCATTTTTTTCCCAGCAGCGTCACAACGTAATTCTCACCTATGCATAGCAACGCCATGATGAAAAGCGCACTGAAACAATACCTACAACTGCTTTCGTGAATGTACCAAACAGTTGCATTAATGCGTTAACACCAGAAGCTGTCCGCCGTCAAAGTATACCTGACAATGCCGAGATGGAGGCAGGGTATCGTAGAGCGGTGACTTTTGCCTTACTCTATGCCATTCTTATCATCCACCACTCGCGGCTAGCTGATCTTGCTAATGCGGATGAACAGCCACTCTGATTAGTTACCACAATGACCAAGCGCGAACAAAATGATATGCATTGGCATCGAAAAAGGCATCGTTCCGCACAGCTGCGTGGAAAAAAAAAAACCTTGAGCGACTGAGCTTCAGATGGTCTGCGGCTCAAAAGCAAGCCAGTGGCAGGGCAGTCTCATTGCCATCACTTTCGAGCAATGGCGGCGCCCATGCTTGCTGAACAGCGGTGGTTTATGGTGGTGCCAGCACGTATTTTAGGCTTCGTTTACATATTTTCAGGTTCTGAAAATTCATCAAAATGTTAAGGATTGTGTTTAGTATATACCAATAAATATCTGAGCCTGGAATTGCATCGTGAAACTTAGTTGAAGCGGGTCGGCAGAAGAAAAAGTGTTCGTTGTGGTGACAATATTTATGCATTGTCTCCTGTAGACTGGTGACGGGAAACCATGAATTTTTCGTTGTAGCGGAATTTGACCGTACATACAAGGCGAGGGAGAGTGAACAAGGCAAGAACGGGCACTCGGATCCCTGTCACATCATTCAACATGCTTAGAGGCGACCATGTTTGAACGGTGTCGGCGAATGTGACAGTGATGTGCATGCCCCCATTTGCTTTGTCGGCTTGCCTGGTGTATGTATACGATACACTCTCGCACGGTACCCGATGGGTCCATAAAATACGCTCCATTCAACATGAGTTCCATTTACTGGGAGATGACCAGGGGCCCAGAATGCAAGAACGAAACCAATCTTTTCAGATTTATTTGTTTCATTTAAAGAGCGGTTCTGTGTAAAAGAACTTTATTTGCTGAGAGTCCCCTGTATGTGCTTTTTCACGGAAATAAATCTGGCTGGAAGTCTGGCTTTGCCTCTGTTCTGTCCCGTATTCTAATGTATGCACTCGTAACACTGTTCATTGCCTGTGATTGGCTCGGGCATGAGCTTTCGGGGGCCACTTGAAGCCCATGTGCCCGGCTATTTCGTACTGCTTGCCCTGCAGCGCACGTTGGTGTTTGTCTGACAAATGCGTCCGTCTTGCGGAACAGGCTCGAAAAAATGAAGGAGTTCCAGATTCCGAGCCAGGTCAACTCGGCATCCCTGCTGCCCGACAAGTCGGTCTTCGTCTGCGGCGGCGAGGACTTCAAGATGTACAAGTTTGAGTACGAAACTGGAGCGGAGCTCGGTGAGGCTGATGTCTCTGGTGTTCGATCGCGGTACTTCCCCTACTCAGTTAGAACATCTAAAAAGACGTCTGAACCATCCACAAAACCACGGTGTACCTGCCCTTGAAAAAGACGGTCGAGCTAGGTGGTTGCTGCTCACCGTACATACTTTCTCATGGTAAAAACGGTGCAAGAACATGATACGCAATTGAAAAATACACAAGGATGTTCGTTTATTCATTCATTCATTCTTTATTTTCAACAAGTCTTTTACAGTCAGTTGGAGGGTCCCTCATGTCTCGTGTTCTTGCTCCATTTTTAACCATGAACCCACATCAACTTGCCCAGCTGTCAGAGATACATTTTATGGGCTAATATGAATATCACGCATAGACTCACAAACCTCCTTATAACAAACCCAGATGTAAAGAAATATTGATTATAACGAAATAAATGGTAAGAGCCATGCCATATAAAGTTAGGAAACAACCATTATATGACTTTTTTTAAATAACAAACCTAATTTCATGTAAGATGCAATTCTGTTAAATAGTGAGGTATGAGTGTAGACCTATTTCTTGATTTTGAACAGCAGTAGACGTCGTCGACATACTGAGGCGATTGTAGCGACGTCGAAACACATTGGCACCGCGCAGCCCAGAGCTCACCACCGCCTTATATGATCGCGTTACAGCTGGCTCGGCAGCTGCTAAGCTGACTCCGAGCACAGCTTATTGGGGAGCCTAGCTCTGTTTACAAATGCAATACATATCTATAAAGAGTAAAGAGTGTGCATTACTGTCCCAAAACATTGTGCGGCTGAGCAGCCATGTCATTGTTCCTGTTGAAACCTACAAGGATGTTAAAATGTCAGACCTTCAGACCTGAAACTTTAACTGACACAAATGAGTGCTGTGTGTGAAAGTCGGCTATGTTACGAGTAAGCACTGTTGGATGGACGGAAGAGGAATTTCAGTGAGAATAAAGCCGAGGAAAGTACTATAGGTGATGTTACTTATGTGAATGAGAAGAAAGCAACGGGGACGAAAAGATAACTCGCCGATGTCAAGGACTGAACGCGCAACTTTCAAATAATGCAGCCAGTGCAATACCAACTCAGTTAAGCGGCGGTCATACCCCCACCTTTACTTGTGTATATATCTGTGATACAAACAATATACCAGAAACATGCCCCATAAAGTGGACGGGGGATCATCGCGCTGCAGCTTGATTAGCAGAGCATGCTGACGCACTATTTAAAAGTTGCAGGTTCGGTCCCTGTCATCGGCTCGTCATCTTTTCGTCCACTTGACTTCCTTCAAATATAGATCATAATTATTAACATTATTTCTATTTCACATTAGATCATAGTTATAACCGGTGGCTGTGGATGGACCGACATCCTTTCTTAAATTGCAACTAGGTATAGTGCTTGCAGACTTTGCTGAAATGAATGGTATTGAGAGGAGATTCGCGCTTCAGAAACATGTTTTTGTTTCTGAACAGATTATGAAACTTTCACCGTTTATGCATACTTATGTGCAGATTCCAAACCTGTCCTTCTTTTGCTACAATATGTACTTCTTACAATAATAATTAAGGTTTGTATTGTTTGGATCAAGATTTATTTCTCAAATAGATACCTCATGAACACCTGATAAATACTTCTTAAGTAAAACAAGAACGGATCTTCCATTACAATCAGAGTTTCGATTCGGTAAGCATTTGAAAATAAGTTGGTGTCAAGCTGAGATTTTGCTCACGGAAGTTCAACACACCATAATTTTTGTCAGAATGGGCCTAGAATGTCTATTCTTGTTTTACTGCATACAGTAATCATTCCATGTTATTGCAATCTTCTGATTAGCTGTGCAAGTCTCGCAGTTTAGAAATAAATCTTGCTCTTAACAAGATGCCTAGTATGCATGATATTTTGAACACTGGAAATTGTACTAGAAAAATGATTGTATATTTTTGATGAGCACATGAAAATACATCAACTGTGAAAGGTTTATAAAAATCTACCTAAAATTAAACAAATATGAGTCCAAAGCAGGGTCTCTTCTTTGTTTGATAGTTTCTGCTGATCCTATCAGCACGTGGTTATTTGACGGTGGTGGTATCCGTTTCAGATTCATTCAAGGGACACTTTGGACCTGTGCACTGTGTGCGCTTCTCCCCTGATGGCGAACTGTACGCAAGTGGAAGCGAAGACGGCACGCTCAGGCTTTGGCAGACGACAGGTTGGCAAGACGTACTGGCCTCTGGAAGTACGTACAGCCGACTGAGGGCCCCGCCGGTGAGGGCGTGGCCAACAACAATAACAACGACATTCCCACACCCCCCGACGCCACCGCAGCCACGCCGCCGCCAACTGCCAACAGTGCCTGTCAAAGCAGAGGCGTGATGTCCCTCCAAAAGGCTAGCGCAGGCAGTAATCGGAAACTGAGCAACTGGAAAGCTTTTGAGGGGTAGTCTTGGATTAAGTAGGAACAGAAAAAAGTGCAGGCAGCGCTGTGCGTAAAGCCTACTACAGCATGGCTGAAGGCTAGCCTAAACCGAGGTCGGCCCACAGCCAAGAGTTTCAGAAGTGTGGTTGCTACATGTGTAGGCGGATTGTTCTTCTTCTTTTGCCTTTTTTTTTCTATCATGCTTGAAAAGGTGTGCATAGCCGTGGAGAGGCGGCAAGTCCTCCAATTCATGTATTTTTTTGTTCCGTCATCCGCGTTATGCGCAGATATTATGTCGGTGTCTACGAGGTGAGGCTGCCATCTTTACCAAGCTCAGAAGTACGGGCATTTCATATTTTCCCTCGTCTCTTGTTTCGTAACATTGAAACCCATTTGCCAAAAGTCTCAAGGCAGCCAGAAGTACTTTGGAGTTCACTGCAGTAGCACGCACAATGCTCATGCCTTAGTTTTGTTTTTTGTCTGTTTCAGATTATGTCTTGATAGTAACTTGTGTTGTGAGTGTGTTAATAGCTTTACCATGCCAAAAGCTTAGGGCATACTTCACTTTTTTTGCAAGCAAAGCTTTCGTTAGGCTTAGAATTGTGCCCTCTTTGTTGTATAATCATAAAACAGGTTTGCTTTGCTAAAGGTTGGGTAAGTTTTGTACCTTGTTTAGTTTGCAGTGTGTTAGATCGCTGGAAAGGAAAGTATAAGTTGAGCAGGAAAGCACCGACTTCTTGCTCGCAAGAGTCTATTGAAGCTCTTTGTTGTTAGGTTTAGCCCTGAAGCACTTGTTCCTCCAAAGTCTTCACATTTCTTCCATATGGAGCACATCAGACTTTGAAGGAGAGAGCTTGATGCACAAGAGAGACTGCAATTGAGTGCACTGTGTGTTGACTGCAGTGAATGGTGCCGAAACATTGCAAGTGGCGCTTGTTTTTTTACGACATTAAAATTTTTTTGCACTGTTATTTAGTGCATGAGTGTTCACTTATGTTTTTCTTAGTGATTTTGCAGCATCGGCTTCCTAAGAATACAGAATACATTTTGCATGAATCTTTGCTTAATAGCAGTAAACTATAAACTACTTGCTTACCGACAATGTATGTAAATTTCGTAAAATTTTCAAAGTAATAAATATAGCACAGAAATTCGTAGTTGCAGGGAATTCGGTTTAAGTTAAACAACAGACTTCAACAGCAACCTCATTGGATGAAAGACGGCTCCATGTTTGTATTTGCTAACGTCACATAGTTTGGAATGACTTCTTAGAATGGTATGAGTAGCGCAGATTGCGATTGCATCACACTTCATTGGAACAGTTTTAGATCATGTTTGTTACCGCAGGGTTCAGTTTGCACCAATGAAACAGATCACTCGGAAACAATGCTGTGCAATGCAAAACTTTTTCGGCTTTTCAACAAAAAACATGGAATCGATATTGTGCATTTGTCAAAAGTTTATTTGGCCCACAGACTTTTAATCATAACTGAATAATTCTTGGTGCGTTGGGACTCTATTTGTGCGCTTTAATGTCCGTTGAAGGAAAATGCGCTTGTAATGTAACCATGTTGTAGAAAGAGGAATAACTTTATTTAAATGAAAAAAAAATTCGCAGAGGAATGGCAATCAGGCCGTTTCTGGCTGCCACCTCCTCAGCTCGCTGTATGGCCCGGAGTTGTACTTCTAGGCTCGTATTGCAGAGTACACTTTCCCACGCCTTGAACGAGGAAGTGGTAGTTACGAGGCCAAAAATTACATAACAAGATTTTGTGACCAGCGATTACTTATACGGTTAACCCACTTTTAGCTAAGCCTTTGTATATGCATTGTTTTGGCAGTTTTCTAGTTCTGTGCAACTGTATCTTTGGAGGTGTGCCGCTTTTTGCTATTCGCCTACTCAACCTTTCGAGTAACAGAGGATCCCTGTTTTTCACATCGTGTTGATAATAACCGTGCACTTGTCTGGGTAGTCGCGCCTCTTAAGCCGCTGTAAAATAAGTCTCTTATTGCCCGTCTTTCAACAGTGCACTGCGTGATGTTTTTTTCGAGTGCGGACATTTGATTTTGACGCGTGAGACGCATAGGCTCTCCTCTTTTGCTTCCCTCACACTGGCAATCTGCTGGTGAATGAGTTGCGAATGTGAACATTTCGTTTGTGTTATGGATGATTATACAAGATATCCTTTGAAGCCACCAACTGTGATTCCCAAGAATGGTCCCTGCCCTCCTTCACCTACAACGAGAGCGACGCTTGCCTCAAGCCGGGGAGAAAATTGTCGAATCGTTTTGAAATAAAAGATTGGCGCATAATGCCTGAGAAATCAAACAATGTTTACTTTGTCTTTCTGCAAGCATTGCAATTCCATAAGAACCACTCACAGGAAATTTCGATGGCAAGATAATGAGTGAGATAAATTTGTGTGACCACGTATTGAACATCTAGAAGATATCAAGAGTAAATATAGTGACTAAGTGAGTTGCGAAGCACCTCTCCGATGCCAACATCAATGCAGCGGCATTGCGGCCTATGTCACAAGTTTGCGTTGGCTGGTTGCGATTCACACCATGCGCTTGCGCTACCTGCAATTTCTTCCTCCTAGCCCGAGGCTTAGCATGAGCTGGCTGTCAGTCATGGAGGAAGAAATATATAGGCATTGATGCTTCGGTTAAAATGGCCATCTGCAGGCGTCCTCATAAAGTCAGATGAAATATGAAAATAACACGCTTTGACGGAGACATTTCAGTTGGGGGCGCCTTGCAGTGCAAAGTTGCAACCACTAAAAATTGAAAGGCAACGCTACTGGCCAAGCGCAGCCAAGCACGCTTCGCGTCCCCGCTCTGTGGTTGCGACGGAACGCAGCGCACACGACCGGTACGCTTGAAAACACAAACGGTGGCAATTCCCTTTTCTGCCGCCAGATGCTGCCAGCATGATTTGGATCTTCGGCAGTGTGACGTTAGCTGGCCGCCTCGAGGAGCGGAGTTGCACCTTCTAAATGTTTTTTGCTCCATGCTGTCAGTGCAGCGCATGTTCTCGTGCACCGCACCCATGTTACAGTTTTGCATGGTCACATGGCCAGATGTGTTTACCTTGCTACCAGAACTGCTCCTGCCTATCTCAGTGCCCTTTGAGACTGAAACTGACCAAGCGAAACGCTCAGCCCCTTGCGACACCAACATCAACACGGCGGTAATGTAAATAAACCTTTGTCACAAGTTTGTGTTAGCTGTTCGCTGAATTGCTCTGCCTGCTATTTCTTCTGTGTCTGCTGCTTTGCGTGTGATGGCTGCCAGTGCGGTGCCTGATTGTGCACAGCGGCCACATCACAGTTTTGCATGGTTGCATATGTAACCAACTGTGCTTACTTTGCTACCGGAACTGCTTTTGCCTAGCTCGGAGCTCCTTAAAATTGGAACTGCGACTGACCACTCTAGAAGTTTCTCCAAATAAATAACTGTTGCACACTCGTGCAACTGAGGTTGCCAGCAGTGATAGGTGGGTCATAAGCTACCTGTTGCAAAAAAGACAATGCAAAATTTTTGTGTGTGCTCCTTTAAGTGTGTACCCACAGGAATTTTTAATTATTTTCAGATTGCTGCCATAAATTAAAACATAATGGCGTCGAAAACCCTGAAAGTAGCATTGTGGTGCTTTGAAATACATCAAATATATTTCGAGTACCACAACTTTGACATTAATGGTATTGATACTGAGGGGGTGCTTTTTTGATAACGTTTCATCGCAGTGCGTTCTCGTGGAAAGACAACTTGATGACATACTCATGCAAATCTTTTCTACTCGTAATGAACATAGAGTGACAATAGTGATTATTCGCCTAGTTGGTACTTGCTTAGTGACATGCTTCAGCTGCGAATAACACACGCACACACACACACATATATATATATATATATATATATATATATATATATATATATATATATATATATATATATATATACACACATATATATTTGTGTGTGTGTAAACACAAAGTACATTAATATAGTACAAAGTACACAATTACATTAAAAAGAAAGGTATATCAACAAACCGTCGGTGACATTATACGTATTGAAGACGAGATTCTTTGAGAGCTGGATAGTGTAAAGCTGTGTGAAGACTGCGCATGTCTGTATGTTGTTACTCAAGTCTGGCTTTGCGCTCAGTCTACTTTAGTTGGAAGTGCCACTTGTGCTCGTCGTTGTTTGTTCCTTTACTTAATGTTATTTGCCGCCGAAGCATGTCACTAAACATAGAGTGAGTGGTGGCCCAGCGAGCCCAACAGTGTTTTCTGTGATTCGTGCTGAATGCGTTAACTCAGTCGAACAAAATTGATTCATCAGGACAATTTCTATTGCGGGCCCCGCCGCGGTGGTCTAGTGGCTAAGGTACTTGGCTGCTGACCCGCAGGTCACGGGAATGAATCCCGGCTGCGGTGGCTGTGTTTTAGATACAAGTGAAAATGCTGTAGGCCCGTGTGTTCAGACTTGGGTGCACCTTAAAGAACCCCAGGTGGTCAAAATTTCTAGAGCCCTTCACTACGGCTCTCGTAATCATATTGTGGTTTTGGGATGTTAAGCTCCATGTATGACTTAATCGATGTCTATTCCGGTGGGGCCGGCTTGCAGATTTTTAGCAGCTAAATATATTGGTTGAGCATAAAAAATATACTATTTGTCTGGCACCAGTTTATATAGAAATAGTGTTAACACTGCATACCAAGAAGGCGAAAAATGGCTCGCACGTGTGCGATGCCTCAGAATCGTGCCAGTACCCCTTCAAATGTAGCTTGAGCTGCTTTGCGTTTGAGACAAGCGAGCAGTCTTGCTGTCTCACGTAAGTCTAAGCACACATTTTTTGCCTCCGTCAAAAATGCAGCCACCGCGGCCTGTATTCAATTTATGAACTTTAGGTCAGCATTTGAGCACCATAACCACTAAACCACCATCTTGGATAACACTTAACCGTCCACAGAGCCATCAAAATGCCCTACAACTCTTTCGAAACTTTGATGGCTGTTTGATGATGATTTGAATCTGATGATGAGCAGCGGAAGTGAAAATGGTGCTAATGTGCTCTTTCGTTCATAGTGTGCTCATACTCACCATTGAAAATAATAGAAATTTAATGAGTAGCAGGCTAGAGCAAGCTATCGCTCAGGCCGCTCTGCCTTCTGTAAATAAACTTACCGCCTCCTTAATGAGTGCTTTAAAAAAGGTATCTGTACGTATTGTGATTAATTTAATAAAGTAGTTTTGCAACTTAAAATATGCAAACTGCACGTACGCTCGAAAACAGCAGTATCATCTTCATCATGCCGTCTCGCCGTATATCGCTCTCCGTGGTTTGCTGCTTGGCAATGTCAAAAATGAAATGCCTATTCATGGCTATGAGGAGACGACATTTTACGTTAAGGCTGTGTAGCAGCGTGACAACTAGCAGAGTTGAAAGAGCCGTGCCGTTTCGATGGCCATTGAATATACCTTTCCGAAGTGTCTGTCTGTCGAAAGTACAAGATCTGGAAGCTAATATCTTTAGCAGCTCTCAAGGATGTGGGTTTAATTCTCGGTCTGTGCATGCCCCCTTTGTATACGTTCTTTATCTCTGCCATTGGTGTTGACCAGCATCCAATAAAGAGCAAGTGATGTTAAGCTCGTCATAAAATGAATCTCCTGCATGTTCAGTGCACCTACTTCTTCATGAGATACCATATTGCTATAGAAACCACCGTGCTGCACTGATTCATTTCATGCTCTGCATTTTGGTGTTTGAGCAGGAAAAAAGTGACAGCTTTGCCACAGAGGCGAGGCAATGAATGCGATAGCAACGAATTGGAAAGTCACCCGAAGAATGGCAAGCAGATCGAAACGTGGGCCCGCGTTTCTCGTGCACAAATGATCGCAAATAAGCGTCTCAGTTGTTACTTCGCTGTCTGAAAAGTGTGCCCTTTTTGCAAACAGAGACTGTGCAATGAGTGCAGTGACCTTTGTGCACCCAGTAACTGCAACAGAATTGTTTCGATGAAAGCCCAAGGCGTACGATTGTCCCCATTGCAAGATAAGCGAGCGCACGCATGAACGTCCTTTCTCCGCGGGGCAAAGTACGCGTAGGAGGCAAGAGCGCGTGCCGCTGTGTCGTGATGATCTTGTGAAGCGCACTCATTGCGCCATCTTGCTGCTAATGCTGAAAACTTAATAGTTTTCCCCTCCCCCCTGAGATGCCCTTCGCCAGCGGTAAGTGATGGATATAAATAGCTTGCCGTTTAAACGTTGAACGAGGTGTTCTTTCGTGACTAGCATCTCGCACTCGCAATTCAGAGGCCAGCCGTTCGATTCCCTGTACCGGATGACGATAGTTATAGCGCGAGAACAAAATGACACAGAGACAAGAAGGAAACGAAAGACACGAGCGCTAACTTCCAACAGAGTTTTTTGCGCAGAGCACGAAAATATATAGAGACAGTGACCATGTGATAAAAACCATATGGCACAAGAGCAGAACATGAGTAAGAAAAACAAAAACAAACAACACAAAAACAAAGGCACTGAAAAACAGCAAAGAAAAAACCTAGAAGAAAACGAAACAGAAAGGTAAAGATAAAATAACTACCTGCCCGCACCGAAACCTTCGAGGAACCTGCGTTCCTTCTCGGACAAAGTCACGGAGGGCTTGCTAATACAAGGCACCTGTTCGCGTGCCATCTACGCAGCCTCGACAATGACCCGGGCGCTTACATCTCTGTGTTTGTACAGCGTCGCTGTGTCCTCGAAAAGGGGAACACAATCGCACTCAGTGCAGTGCTGTGCATGAAAACCATCTTTCTCGTTTCTAACATTGTTCGCGTGCTCTCTCAGCCGATCGTTCAGACACCTTCCGGTCGTTCCGACTTAACAAGCACCAAATGAAAGGGGGGTCCTATAGACGACTTCCCGGGAGCAGGCCGCATACCTGTTTCGATGTTGAACTCTGCATTCTGTTGATGATTTCGTTTTCAGGGGGTTGGTAGATTTGGTGAGGCTGATTAGTTAATGATTAATTTAATAGAATTACAATTTAGAAGAACTGTAATTGTAATTCTATGTTTCACTCGTTGGCCACTCAAACTATAGGTGTGTTCGAAAATTGTTTGAAGCCTCTTGTGTTGACACATGAAATGCCCGATAATGACAAATTACGCTTTTTGGATTTAAATCTGGTTTTTAGCTCACAGCACATCTGTTGGTGTTATGAACCACGTGCGCAGAAACCTCTACTTCCCTTTTCTTCTGCTCACAGTGAGATAGTTAAGCGAGGCATAGCACAAACTTGCCTTGAGAATGCTTTAAATAGGTCGTGCGCCCACAATATCTCTGCGAGCTTCAAAGCTCAAGTTTCCCGCCTTAAGGCTTCAGGTTTCCCCGAGGCGTTTATCGCGTCTGTTGCTGAGACGATCCTGTGGACTAATAAGGCAGAGCAGAGGACGCGACAGAATCTGAGCAACACGAATACAGAACGTGAAAGGATAGCCGTGATTTCATACATACACCAGATATCACATAGGCTCAAAAAAATCGGAAAATGTGTTGGAGTTCGTGTCCTGTTCTCGGCACCGTTCAAATTAATCAGCCTCACCAAATCTACCAACCCCCTGAAAACGAAATCATCAACAGAATGCAGAGTTCAACATCGAAACAGGTATGCGGCCTGCTCCCGGGAAGTCGTCTATAAGACCCCCCTTTCATTGGGGCTTGTTATGTCAGAACGACCGGAAGGTGTCTGAACGATCGGCTGAGAGAGCACGCGAACAATGTTAGAAACGGGAAAGATGATTTTCTTGCCCAGCACTGCACTGAGTGCGATTGTGTTCCCCTGTTCGAGGACACAGCGACGCTGTACAAACACAGAGATGTAAGCACCCGGGTCATTGTCGAGGCTGCGCAGATGGCACGCGAACAGGTGTCTTGTATTAGCAAGCCCTTCGTGGCTTTGTCCGAGAAGGAACGCAGGTTCCTCGAAGGTTTCGGTGCGGGCAGGTAGTTATTTTATCTTTACCTTTCTGTTTCGTTTTCTTCTAGGTTTTTCTTTGCCGTTTTTCAGAGCCTTTGTTTTTGTGTTGTTTGTTTTTGTTTTTCTTACTCATGTTCTGCTCTTGTGCCATATGGTTTTTATCACATGGTCGCTGTCTCTATATATTTTCGTGCTCTGCGCAATAAACTCAGTTGGAAGTTAGCGCTCATGTCTTTCGTGTCCTTCTTGTCTCTGTGTCGTCGTTTTGTTCTCGCGCTATAACTATCGTCATGCCATACCAACTAGCCCAAGCTGCCACACTCCTGTACCGGAGTCTTTTCTCTGGATTATTTTTCTTTCTTGCATTTTTATATATATACATACGTATACATATACGGTGAATGACAGCGACGCCAATGGCAAAATCCAGCCGAGTGTCTTTTATAATTGCTATCGCAATAAAATTATTTGCTTATAAAAAATACTCTGATAATTAGCTGCAGAGATGCTCAAGCCTGCGATTTGATGCTTTCTGTGACAATTCACTTGAAATGCGCAAATCAATGCACTACCACGTCTTTCCTCTTGTACAGTATGAAGTGTTTGGTAACCGATATGCGAACTTGACACATTTCTAGAAAGTATATCATAATGTGCAGCTGAACGAGATATCGGAAACATTTCAGTCTTCACTTTCTAAACTTGCCTATCACATATGATCACACTGTAAAGCAGAATCACATTGCTTATTTAGTGATTCATATTAGTAATGCTGAAGAAATTAAAGAGCAGGTCAGTAAGACATGCCGAGATTTGCTTGCCCCAATTTTTCTGATACAGCGAGGGCTTGAAATTTTCTTTTGCTGACATTGGCATGCATGCCAGAAGATTATCATATGCATCAGAGGTACCTGTTGAATGCATATGTTGAATGTTGAAAGCCTCAACATATTTTCCCACAATCTATTCGATACACCTTGAATGCCGACTACAGAAAAACGTTCTTAAGCTATACCACACTTCCCACAGCTGGCGTAAATGAGAGAGACTCCACGGGCGTTTGTATAATCTATATTTTTAATATTTAAATGGCCACCGTGTTTACACATCAGTAACCTTAATCTGCCGGCTCGAAAGTGTAGTGGACAACTCCATCATTTGGCATCTCTTGAGGAATCTGGAAAAGTGTGAAAACGAGGAACATCATGAGAATTGGGGGACAACAAATTGTGGAAAGTGAGCAAGACCAGAATGTGAGCAATTATACTCGTACCTCAATATAACAAACCCGTAAATAACAAAACATTGGTTATAACGAATCAAATGAAAAGTACTCATGTATCAGATAGTGCTGGAAACATAGCCAACAAATTTTTGTGCAGGGAACACTGTGCAGTATGCGAATTCGCCTAGACTCTGTGCTTGCGGCTTCGAACGCATTTTGTGGCTTTGTCCATTGTCGGATTTCAAACCTAGTGTGACACAGTGGAAGCTTCGCCATTTGTTTCTTTCTCCGCAGTTCGCTCCCTGCATCATTTCCAGAGGCGGCATTGCTTGCTTTGCATTAGACAAAGCACTGAGCCTGCGTTTCATTGTAAGCTATGTTTCAAGCAGTGCTTAGTTCATGAAAAAAAAAAAATATCTTGCTATTAGTACGATGTCTTGAATATACATTCATATCAAACATTCACCACAGGACATGTTCGTGGTTGAACCTTGCTTCACAGCGAAAAATCTCAGCCTAGGGTTCTCGGACTCAAATCACCTAGGGGGCTGCAGTCTCAAAAGTTAGACCCACAGAACTGCAGGGTCCGGAACAGTGAAAAAGGTTGGAGCAGTAGTGTAGCCAGAAATTTTGTTTCGAGAGGGGGAGACCTTTTTTTTTTCTTTTTTTATGTTTGTGTGTACATTAGCAAGTGTACTAAGAGACATGCAAAATTGGAAAATGTTGGGAGGAGGGCAGAGTCAAACGCTCAACCCTTCATCGTCCAGGCCCTTGCAATAGACTAAGTTTCATGACCGCAGCCCGCTTGCCGAGGCGAGTCGAAGCACCTGGTCTACACTCTAATACCCTGGTCACACTGGCAAGTTGGGGGTCACTTTGAGATGAACTTGCGCTCCCAGAATGTCACTTTGGTGGTGCGCCGCTACACAAGAAAGGGAAGTGTTCTTTGGAACTGACAGTAATTGCGAAGGGTAACCAAGAGCAGATGTTGGTTATTTCAGGCAACGTTTCTTGCGTAGTAACGTCTTACACTTATAAGTAGCCCTTAATATAAACTTTCGGTGCAAATGCAACAATTGCCACCATTGCGAGGCATGTGCTGGGAATTCCTCCAGCGGCTGTAGCTGTAAACCACACGAGAGCGAGAAATGCAAATTAGTTTTTTTGTAATACTATAATATGCTTTAATGTATGACCATACTCCTAATGACAAAATGATAACTCAGAAAATACTCAAACCTCTATATAATAGATGCGGTTATAACGAAATATTCATCATAATGATGTAAATGAATAGTCTAGCATTAAAATATAGTCTACCAAATAGCTACCATGTTTTCAGATATAATGAACTTATTTTTGTGTAAAATGTAACTTTAACGCAACTATAATGAGGTCTTGAGGATACTACGAACTCGGTTTCCGATAGTAACTCAATTATTCGTGAGCCACTGCCATCAAGACTAGAGGCTCCGCTGCTGTGATGCGAGTTTGGCAAATGATTCACCAGTGAGGGCCATTGACTGCCCCCCGTCTGACAGTGTGCGAATGTTACCACTGGCGTAGTGCACTCCCTCGCACCACACCCATGTTGGCCCGTGCCACAGGGGTACAATACTTTCTATGGGAAGGGAAGCGAATCACCGTGGCCGTTCGTACGTACCAGATCAGGACTGTACTTGAACTGGAACTCGGGCCGGTCGAAGAAGTCGATCAGGTACCAAATGCCAATGACGACACCGAGGAACGTGAAAATCTGCCTCCTCCTGGTAAAAAAAAAAAATAAATAAATAAAAAATAAACCAGGCTCGGCAACAAGGGTGCACAAATACTTGTAGGCCAATGGCATAGCTTTAGAACACGCTAGACTCGAAACGGGACCAAGAAGTCATGTTCCATTTACCAAGTGATCAGTAGGGATGAAGACTTTGAGCAAAAAAGCCATCGTACTACAAGCATTTGTTCCAATGAAGCCGCAATTCGGCTCACAAGATTTCTAGGCTTGTGCAAACATTCGAGCACTTGGCATATTCGAATAAGTACTACATTATTCGAATTTGCTTCATTTAGAACTTAGGCTACTGGAAATTTTTGACAAATAGGTTTATATTTATCTGCACCTGACCCCGCCGTAAAGGTCGCTTCATAGCAGTGACGGGGTGCTGCACCACGAATACAGCTATCCAGGGTAAATGCATTTCTGCAAAGCCACACTTAAAGCTTGAATAAACATCTTACTGTCACATCCATACATCACTTTTGATGTTTAGATGCTTGTTATCCAGCTTATATGCACTAACTATAAAAAATTTCGAAATGTAACGTATTTTACAGGTAATCACTTGAATTCTACCAAAAGTCGAATCCTTCTACATTATTAAAAGTTGGCAATACAGAACGTTTCTCTTTGAACCAGAATTGAATTTGCACAGCACTTGTTTTATTTAAAAAAAAATATGTGCATTCTAGTTGGATCATTATAATTATGCTTATTTTTCCTAATATTATGCAAGATATATTACTTGAATTTGATTTGACATTATTCAACCAAATCAATATTTACTTCGAATTCAGAATTTACTATTCGCACAAGCCTAGAGATTTCTGTTTACTGAACTACTCAGAATCCATTTTTACGATCATTCCAGAACAATGTTGATACTAGTGCCCCGAATGTGCTATAACCACAACTGGAGCATCAGGAAGTCACAATACAGGTGGTAATTGACACAGGGGCTGTAATCCCATTTCATACATCAGGTGCAACGCAATGTAAGCTAGTGAAGCTTCTTGCAGTAAGTGCATCCACACTATAAATTATTTCTATGATGATGCCATTTATACTATTTTTGTTTTGTTGTTACTGCTGAGTAATAATGCACCTTATAAACAAACAAAAACCTCTAACTTATAGCATTGTCACTAGGCTGTCAGAGTGAACAACTTGGCGTGCTGGTATTGCAGGATCTGAGAAAAGGTGTTGTGCGAGAGCGACTTCTATATCTTTATCGCAGAAAGAGTGGAGACTTGTGAACGTGACTGAGCAGCGATAAAACACGGCATCGTCTGCATAAACTGCCCTGATGTTTTTCTTTGGATTGAACCCGTTGAAAGTGGCATCCTGTGTGTGTGTCTCTCTTCTCGTCTGTCGTCGTCTTCACACCTTTTGCCTCTGATCACTCAGTAGGCTGTTTAGGATTGCTTAGCTCTTTGCCTTTTGCATCCCAACTTTTACGATGTAGAAATATAGAATACTCTTGCTGTTAATAGTGTCCCAAACATACATTTACAAACTTTCAGATGCAATGCAGCTATCTTTTTATAAGGTGTGGCTTCATAACAATGTTTGATAGCTTCTATATTAAATGTCAAAAGTGCACGATCAATACAAAAACATTTAGCACGAAACAAGCAACTTGTAAGATTTCAGCAGCATGAGCATTAATGCATTGGCATCTGAGAAGTTTGGAAACTTGCACTACATTCAAGTACATGCATTAAAGTGTCCCTTATAGCCCATTGTTAATACAAAAACGAATCTCAGCTGCAATATTTTTAGCTAGCCACATCACTATAGAATGTCCCAGCTCCTAGTAAATGCACCACCTGTTGCAAAGCCAAGTGGCAAAGCTTGTCACTTACACTGGAACACGGTGCCTCTTCAAGTCAAATCTTTCGGGGGTGTACGCATCGACATAGATGTTAACCTAGATAGAAGAAAATAAAGGAATCAAATTTTTCGCAGCAATTTGATAGCCAATCAATCGTGCAAGCTGCTGCCAATGGAAGGGACACTAAAGTGACGCAGTGAATTAATTTTAATTGATTAATTACAATCTGGGAAGCCCAATGCCGGTAATCCCATCATCCTACATTCATTAACAGAGGGGAAAGTTACGGTGAAAGTTTCATTCCTAAATTTTGCACTGAAGTTTATGTGCGTGACATTACAAAGAGCATTTTCCGTATTTTGATGACATCGGCTCTAGGAATTTTCCCCGAAATTCGGCATGTTGAGTATGGCCTCCTCATAGGATGATGTACTTGATTTTTACTAATTAGGAATTACACTCAAACCTCCTTATAACCAAGTTGCATCTTATAATAAAATGAATTTGTTGTGTCCGAAAATTCATTATAAAGGTTGTTTCTCACTCTATCCATTGCAAGACTATTCTTAATTTACTTTCATTATAACCAATATCTTGTTATATTCATGTTCGCTATATTGAGGTTTGAGTGTACATATAAGCCAACAGACACTATCAAAATCTTTGATGTCGCGACCTTTGATGCAGGAGTTTTAAGGCACCCTCATTTTCTTCCTTATCAAACCTGTTCTTTTGGTAGCACTTGGTGTTTTTGGTAGTGTGAACTTTTGCTTTACAAAAATGAGAAAAATCATTTCTTCTTCAAAGTCCGTTTAATCGACATTGCTTCATCCTTGCAGCAAAATTGTCACTTTTACACTGTAGCTGTCTCAAGTCTACTCTGAGCCATCTTGGCCACAGTAAACCATCATGCAGTTCGGGTGGCCAGAAGGTGGAAGTGAATAAATGAATAATTACAATGACGAAGATTATGATGCTCGAGACTGCCTGAGTCAGCAAGTCACACAATCTCCCTTTGCCCAACCAAGTGCAAGCATGCGTATTTCAAATCTAGCGGCGAATTCACGACACCGCATAATCTCACTAGTCAATCACATACGCTCGCCCACTTCGCTGTCCCTATGGTCTTCATGGCCTCAATTTTTTACTAAGTTAAAGGGGTATTGACACCAACTTTCAAAGTTGAGTCTGGCAAAATGATGTGCTTCCGCCATACAATATAAGATGCATTAAGGAGACTCCTTTCATAACATCCCATCTTTGAATTACAACCCATTACATATGTTAGTTGTTTTTTTACCAGGAAAGCTTTAAACCCTAACTCTGGTGATTTTTTGACCATGTCAGGATAATGGTGCTTTTATGTTCCTTAGACACTCCTCTCATGCACACGATAACTGAAATGCTCAAATAATTCGAAAATAATTATTAATTACCAAAAAACTACAATATCGAAACCGATACCTAGCCAAGTGTGCTTCTACGTCTGACGTAAAGATTTGCCTGATTGCTGCCGGAACGTGCCTGATTGCACAGAATGCCCGCCAGTGGCACTACCTGTACACGCAGTTTGCAGCGATAGGCTGAAATGCTTGCGCTGTTATGGTGAATATATGGCGAATTGTGTGTGGCTCACAACACAACACCACTTAGCACCTATCGCACACCCACCAACACAGAAAAGGAAATCGCACACTCAGCCAAGGAAGCTCTGTACAAACCCACACAATCCATAGCAGACGCTGCTGTGGCACATTAGTTCATCACTTCTGCCAGGCGAAACTCAACATCACACACACAAAGTTGCCATTAATTTTGGCGAGGGAGGTGAGCGTTTCGAGGCAAGCACTAAAGCCAGCAATCTGGCACGAATGGCGCAAATTAACGTACCCAGTTAATTTCACTGAGATCCGCTGAACTCGAAAAATCGCCGCAGTTGGCCTTTACGCACCGGCATGACAATATGGTATAGAATGCCTGTTTTCACGCAGAAACCATGGGTTAAATTCCCGCTCAAGCCAAAAATTTCCGTTATTGATTTATTTGCATCTATCTCAATTTTTCACTAGTAAAGAGCCACCGATTCCTCACTAACAACCAGTGACACCAACTCCGGAATTTCACAAAATAATCTCTTTAACGCTATCACATTAAGACATGCTGTAATTATTTAGCCAGTGTACGCTCACGCTTACCAGTGCATTTTCACAAGCTCCTGCGGGCTCGGCCTTTCATACGAAGCAAGCAATAACGGGAGGACAACTGAAAACTTTTGTTTCAGTACCCCTTTAAAATGAAAACATTCATCCGTCTCTCATGCTCTCTCACCGGCTCGCCATAGTTTCGTTTCAGGGTGGGAAAGTCGTAGTCCTCTTCGGGATCCCTGGTTCCCGCCGTCACCGTTGGGAGCTTTGGGTAGTCGCCCCACGTCAGACCCTCGCTTTCGGCCCGCACCTTGTAGTCCTCGTACAGCATCTTGTACTTCTTAGCGGCCGCTCTCATCTCCTCCTCCGTCTGCGGCGCCGGACCCGGGCGCCAGTCCTTGTTCCAGTCTATGGCCAAAACACAAAAAGTGCAAAACGAAGGTGCACGCTAAGAAGTCATGTTGAAAGTTTATAGTCCAGGGTTCAGCGGACAACTGGCGGAAGGCATAGATTTCTTGCAAGCAAACAAACACTGGCCAAACTTACAATGAAAAAAAAAAAAATTTATGACGTTTCGAGACCCCTACAGATCTCTTGAGATACAAGCGACAGAAGTTGGGCCGTGCCTTCATTTATGTAGTGGATGTCGCAATGATTTAGTGTGTGTACGAAGTAGATTTCCCACGTGTCTGATTGAGAGTATGATTCCGAACAAAGGCGGGATGACAGTGATCTTTCCGTGCGGATGACAGTCGCTGACTTCCAATCAATGTTGTGGCCTGTGCAAACATGATGTTTAGGTAGTACGTTGGCGGCGGTGTGTCTCTTAGCTGCGTACGTCATTTTGGTGCCGCAATATTTTTTTAGCTTAGCCTTCGCTTCAGTCGGCGAACGAACTTGCCGCGTGAAGAACAGCTAGAGTGCGACACTATTTCAGCAGGTGATACTCTGAACGGCTCGTTGACGACAGCGTACTGGTTTTAGGATCACGACATTGGCAACGCACCCGCCACGGTAGTCTAGTGGTTATGGTGATCGGCTACTGAACACCAGGTCGCGGGGTCGAATCCCGGACGCATTTTCGATGGAAGAGAAAATGCTCAAAGCACGTATACTCTCACTTAGGTACACGTTAAGGAACAACAGGTAGTCCAAAGTTTCAGATCCCTCTACTACGGCGTCTTATAATCAATGATCCATGGTTTTGAAAAGTTGAACCCCATCGATGATTATTATTATATTCGCAGAGCACAGAATCGGCAGCCGGCTTCTGACGGTTTATTTTGGCGGACAGCACCCTTTTAGGATCATTTGAAAGCGTCACATAGAAAACTAGCCAGATTTTCAGCAGCGAATTGGTTCCTGAAATCGTGAACATCGCATGCCATGGAACATTTATTCCTCGCCGTTACGTATCTGCGTTTTGCGCGAACGTGTAGTTAATGCGATATACTAAACGAAACAGCAGGATAGAAACTTACGGCTTGCTGGTCGACATGATGTGATCACTGGAGCCTTCAGCTGGCACCGCGCGATTTGTCCGAAACGACCCGAAAGACCTACGAGGGCGGCCATCTTTTTTCCCCTAACTTGCTGAGAGCGTACTAGAGAGATGTAAGTGCCTCTGTTTCTCTCTCTTGTTGCTCTACGATTTTTATCCACCGGAAACGCCGAGATGTACCCTGGCGGCGGAAAAGTAAACTTCGGGAGCCAACATGGCGGCATGTCGTCAGTGGTGTGCCGTGGAGAGGTAATTCCTGCATTTTCTTTGCGCCGCATCTCCGCTCGAAGCGGTCTGAAGTTCGTGTCAGGAGCTGTAGTTAAACCCCGACTCGCGTCTTTGACCCTTCGCGTGAATTTGTTCGACGTACCTGCCTTCCTGTCGGCATGCTTTTGACGCGGTGCTGCCATTCCGTTGTTCCGAAGGCACTCTTTTTCCCCCCTCCGTACCCAGCTTGAGAAAAATGTGTCTCGGAACGAGGTTTCCTGTGACGTTAGGAAAATTCGAGATCTTCTCGAGAAGGTGAGATGAGCCCGCGTTACCACAGAACAGTCGGGACGCTGGAATCGGCGTCAGCGTTTCCCCTTGCGAGGCGCCTCGGTACGCGCCCCGCACTACAGTAATCATGTGCGCCGTAGGCGCACCTACCTCGCCGGTAGGCTTATCACGAGCCCGTCCCAAAGCATTACGCCGCGTTATTGACGACTTCGTCGCGGCGTGTAAGTCTTTGCGCAAACTGTCACCGACGCCTTGACACACTTTTCGTGACTCGGCAAAACGACCCGTACGCTACGGGAACGTTCTTCGGCCACCTCTTCGAAGTAGTCGCCCGATTAGTCATTCTCTGCGGGTGCTCTTCGTTGTCGCCTCTCACTGTGCAATCACGCCGTTTTTTTCGAGGCGTTGGTTTACGAATACAACGAGGAAGCGTGCTTGAACTTGGATCTGCGCCTGCGGCGTACACTGTTCTGTTTTGTTTTTGTCGTAGGGTTGTCCTGTGTCGCGATTGCACCGTGACGTAGCAAGAATAATCCGGGCGTCTTGATTATCGGCCTGAGCCTGATTAATTGCGTACCGTTACCGTGAGCCTTTAATGCGAAAATACTGGCTTCTCCCGCCGGTAATCCGCAAATCTCAAAATTACTCCGCGATTCTGCATTTAAATCTTTTGTTCCCCCCCTTCTTGCTCTGAGTTTCCTCGAGGCCGTTTAGTAGCACGACTGCCAACTTTTTTTTTCTTGCCTATTAATTTTGCGTTTGTCGTTCAGGAGCTTCTAAGCACGTAGTCTTTCAAGGATTTTCTCACATAGGGGTACCGTACACCTTTTCGCTGCCTATGAAGCGTTCAGCTACCTAAAAACTGATAACCTGTGCGGGTGCTTCGCAGTTTGCTAGCTTCAGCACCCGTGCCGCTTTAGGCCCTTTCGTAAGGAACAGGGACTTATCTTAAGCTAATTCTAGCGGTGCTTTTGTGATGCTGTGGTAGATAGATTATTGGCAGCATACAGCAAAGCCCTGAAAGGCAGTTTATGATTATTAATTTTTTTTTAGTACCAGTAGTAGTTGACTTTTCTCGAGGCTTTAAGTTCCTGTTAAAGTACATCTATTTGAATGCTCACTATTATTACTAATTATCTCTGGGTAAATAATGACAACCATCGTGAGGCACAGCAGTCCTTCCTGCTCATCCAGCACATTCAATTCATATCTAGCGCTTTGTCACTAACGAAGGCTGGCGGAGTGTGTATTCATTGCTAGAATCGGAGGCAGATTTCTTAGCTGCAGAGTGGAAAGTGACCTGTGGTCACTTGAGAATTTTCGAAAAAGGGGTAAACTAGTTTTATGTCCTAATGTCTCTTAGCCAGATAACTGATAGTAGTCAATAAAACTAGTAATGTAAATGAGGATACTTCAACACTTCCCTGTATTAGCCTGAATGTTTCGCACAATTTCATTCTCATGTTGTCCAATACATTTACAAGCTAATGTTTATACTGCTTTAAAAAGATTTTTTGTCCTTGCCTTCATCAGTTTGAAATAGATTGTGTTTTAATTCTAATTAATGTGCAGTAATTGTTACGTAATGTGCACATGTTTAAAATTGTTAGCCCATTACAATTGGTTTGCAACTCAGTCGCTGCTGTTCGTAAGTATTAACAGTCCACAGTACAGGCATGAAAACTCAATTGCTTACTTACTGCTGCACACAACTTCGCGTTGTCATCCATTAAGCGATGACTCACACTCCGAAGAATTTCGTGCATGCAAAGAATGTCGCAATTGTTCCTGTTGTTTCATGCATGCTTTAACCCTTTCGTGCCTAATGTTGCAATTTCGCGACATACCGAACAACTTCGAGCAAGCAAGTCATTGAATGTGTGCCACCTTTAATGCAGGCTTTCAATTACTAAGGGGGAATGTAGATTTTCGCATGAAAAATGCAGTCCTATCTTGCGTAATTGTGTTATGTATTTCATGCTAGAACTTATCGCTTTGTAGCAGATGGCAGAGAGCGTGAAGCGCGCGCAAAGAGCGCTCGCTTTTTCGTTTCTTCTTGCCTGGCTGACCCAAGTTCTTTCTTCAATAGTTTTGTTTATTTGGTGTGTACACGCTTAAGACATGCCACACGACATTTTGGGTAGTTATGAAGTACGTTTTTCATTGCAAGGTCCTCCGTTCTGTGGCATGCATAAAAGTATGCATTAAAGGTGCATTTTGGATATTTTAACCGCAGAATCTTTTAAAGGTTGCTCTTTAAAGCTGAAAAATGAAAACAATTTTTATTTTCTTTGCAGTTTCATAATTCAGGCATTAAAGGGTTAATGCTGAAATAACAAATATTTGAATGAGAAAATTTCTTGTTTTTAATGTTAAAATGGCTGATTAGGCTATAGCTCTGGCACGGCTTGCTTTCTGGTTGGCTCAGTGTAAAAAATTAGCCACAGTGTCTGTCATGTTGTGGGAAATGTGTGCAGGGTAGCAAAATGAATGGTGCACAACTACCTCGAGCCTAATGTGCAACTATCCTCTTTCCTTTTTCAGCAAAGCTCACCACTAAAATAAGAAAAAAAAATTGAAGCAAAACTCCACCACCGAAAAAAGGCACTCACACGACAGATCCGGTCTGATTCATCCATATTCTACGGAAGGAAAGAAAGTATTAAAACCAATTTCGTCCTCGATTAGTCCGAGAAGCTGCCAAAAAAGAAAAGAGGAAAAGAACCAGTTGACAAAAGAAGAAGAAAACGGTGCCGCGTTTGTCCACTATTGGAAAGAAAGCTCATTGAACCAGCGGCAGCATCAGAATTTTTAGGCCTTGAAAAAAAAAAAAGGAACTCAAGTTGGAAACAGTGCTCCAGTTTTTTTTTTGTTTGTTTTCCATCAAGAAGTTTTACATTTCAAAAGAAGGAAAGGAGTAGACGGAAGACCCACGTACTGTTGGGAAATCCAACGAAGCCAGCGTTGGAGGGAAACCCTAAGCCGCACAAAGCACAAGTCGAAGCCTGTCTCTTCATCTCTGGCCGGTTGCGTCCACACCTGGTACCATCATGGCTAGCGCCAAGTGGCAGGTGAGAGTGACCGCATGTCGTGCACAGGTACCTGCTTGGTGGTGATAGTGTGATCACGGGAGTACATTCGTGGCCATCTATTCCCGTCTTGAGTGGATACTTGCGCAGGCATGGGTCATGATCATGGTGTGTTGCATAGTGTGGTACTTAGGTGGTATTTGGCGTGGTACCACCAAATAACGCTACATCTGGTGGTAATGGTGGCATTGGATGCTTTGTCTCTCTAGTACTGTGACATGTGTACAATTGCTTCTAATAACATCCCCTATGCATTCTCGGTTGTTATTATTGTTGTTATTGTTATTATTGTTGTCATTATTATTGCATCTAAAAAAAACGAGTCCTTAAATCGACACTTTCCTTCAACCATTGTGTTGGATGGTAATGGGAGTGGTATTAGTTGCTCTGCCACTCAGTCTTTCTTTGCTGTGTATTAGGCAAAGCATGCACAAGTGGAGACAATTGCTGAGCATGATAAGGAAGAGTAATATCCAGTGTGGTACGTAAGTACGAGCCATTGGGTGTGGTAACGCCAAAGAATGCTTGTCTGGCACATACAGTTGGTGGCAGTGCTAACAAGCGAACTTGTTGAAGAGCTACTCACCAGGTCTGGCAATTTCGAGCTAAGTTCGATGCGTAGACGGGCAGGGCATTCATGATCACATCTACCAATTTTTGCGATGCTACGTGCTGCGGAGATGGGTCAAATTTCAAGATGAACGCCCAGAGATTGAGGGCATGACGGTACGGCAGTGCAGTGACATTCATTCTCTACATAGACGACTGTGCTCTGACATTGGAAACAGTGGCACGACTTTGTGAAAATTATTTAACACGACGTGTAGTTTATGTAATTTGTTGCTTGAAGAATTAATAGAGCTCTTGATAAATAATGTGACGCTATAAGGGAGTGTGTGCATCTTTTTTTTTTCTTTTTTTGCCCCTGAATTGCAACGAGATGAGGGGCTAATGTGCTGGCGTTTCGCATGCGCTCGTGTCCTCACTGTCAGCGCATCGAGCAGACAGCAATGAAAGCAAAAGTAACACTCCTACGCGTTCACGCACTCTTTGTGCTCACTTATTCTACCGTGTTTAAGCCAGCTTTTCCAAACCATGCCGGCAGAAACAGGCAGTAGACAACAAAATAACGCTGGTAAGTATAACAACAACAACAAAAAAAAAAAGCCGCTCGCATTCTCGGCGGTTGGGTTTGTTCAGTCATGTCATGCGCACAAGACCTCTTGACTGGATGCCGGGGAGGGCAGGGAAGAGATTTGGCTTGCGAAGGCTATGCGGAGGAACAGCAAGCGTTTCGAGCTCGCCTCCTCTCATCCCCGTTTTGCGCTGCTTTAAAAAAAAAAAATTGTTTTCTCAGCTCATAATGAACTGATTGAAAATGTTATTGTGGCGAAATGCTCCTCATCGGACACACAACTTCTACGGTCTAAGTAAGATTTGTTATTGGGCCTGGTGATTGGTCCTTTAATAATGTAGTGTGTAGTGTGGGCACACATAGCTAGAGGTGCCTAGTGGTACCTAGTGTGGTATCTTCAAACGTTGGAGAGAGAGTGTGATTCAGTACTTGACCAATAAATGGGGCTCATTGCATAACACCAGTAAGTGACTGAAGGCTGGTAGTGTATGGGGTTCCAAGAAGTATTCAGTGTGGTACATTGAGGAGCCATAAGTGCTGACAGTACTGTGTTGGTAGCTTTGGGAATCGTGTTAAACAGGTATAAGAGGGTGCCATATTTTGAATGGTACCTGAGGCATAAATGTGTGTCTGTGTTTGGTGCGGTATCACAGAGTGGTGCTCAGTGCAGTAAATTAACTGTCTGGCACTCAACAGGGCGACGACGAAGCCGGAGACCAGGCGTCGTCCGGTTCGCCCAGACAAAACGGCAAACAAGGCAACGCCCACAGGGAAGCTGGCATTGTTGAAAAGCTCCTGGTAAGATATTACAGTGGATCAAGTTCACTTCGCAGTCAGTGGCGTGCACTCGTCCAAAGTGCATTTAAACCTAAGACAGTTGAAAAGTTGCCACACATATTGTGAGTAAATATACAATATATAAAAGCAATAGCTGATATTCTGTTTGAATATCTTTAACTTTTACCCATTAAAAAGGCCATTACCATTCGGCATCATCTGCAATGCCACCGATTGGCAGTGGTAACATATTGTTTTTTGTTTTGGCTTGGCTGCAGCACTCTTATGGATTCATTCGATGCTGCGAGCGGTCGGCGCGACTGTTCTTCCACTACAGCCAGTTCTCGGGAAACATTGAGCACCTGCGCATTGGAGGTGAGTCACCCTGGGCAGGTGTTTTTTTTTTTTCTCGCAATTGTTCAATCTTCGTAGCTGGCTTTCATAATGTCTCATACTGTAATAAGTGCAGATAACTTGCTAGCAAGGTGGGTTGCATAAAACAAACAGTATTGAACAAAAATCAATTCAATGATATCTTAGGAATGACATTTGTCGTTACCATATACCGACAAACCGTAATGCAGGCTTTTATCGTCCGCTTATTCTATGGCCACTGCACGGCAAAGGCCCCTCCCAATGATCTTCAACCGACCCTATCTTGTGTGAGCTGGTTCTGTTTTGGGACCGAAAATTTTTTAATTCCATCACCCCACCTAACTTGCCGCAGTGCACATCATGGAACTTGTACACATAGCTTCTTTTCTAAAACAGGGCAGCAGAATAATGAGTATGAGAAGAGACAGAACGAATGCATAACCCCAGTGTTCAGAGCCGCTCCTTGACTTTCCACCGCCTTCAATGCAGTACAGACGCATTTCGAACACAATCCTTTCTCCATTGCCAAGGCAGCCCAAATTCATTTAAAACGCGCTGTATTGAAGGTGCTGGCAAGTTGAGGAGTGTTTCTGGATATGGGGGTAAGTGTGGTTCTACATGTTTCGCTTGAGCTTTTATACAACAGATGCACTTGAGGTGTGTGTAGATTGTCATGCTTTGGCACAACTCCTATGCATTCCATCTTGCCTCAGACCCGGTGGAGTTCGAGATGACCAATGACCGAAAATCGGGAAAGCCCGTAGCCAGCGCTGTGGTTAAGATATCTTCCGAGGCCTTGTCCAGTGAGGTGCTTAGCGATGAGGTGGCAACGGGCTTCATCACGACCGAAGCCAAGGACGGTGCCGAGGTGAGACAAAGAAAAAGCGTATTTTTTGGCTTCGGTCTTTTAAGGGGCTATATCTGCCTCCTAAGGCACCTGCTAAACTCACCAAAAGCTCTGCGACCGTCATATGTAGCCACAATCCTTTATTATTGCGCATTCATCGTCAAAATATATGTGATTTGCTTGTGATCTGTAAGGCATTGATTCAGTTATCGGAACAGAGTATCTGACGTCGCCTCAACGAGATACCCACAGAGCATGGCGGAGTGTGCCGCCCCGCATTTTTCAATATCTTCATTTTTCTTGCTCTCAAATTCTCTGTTCTAACTTCTCTGTTCCAATTAGCAATCGGAAATTTTTATTACACGGGCATTGTGTAACTTGGCTGAACATTTCTCTTGGCACCTTTTAAAGTGACGTGAAGGAGAAGGGTGATCTTTTTCGCATTGCTAAATTTGCACTTCCAAAAATTCTGACACTCACTGCGAGACCGCATCTAATAAGCAAGAAAATGTGCAAGAAGGAAATGCAGGCGACAATACCACATTACAATCCCAACAACAAATGCCGTGACATCGTAGATTGTGACGGTATCTACTAGGTGCTGCATAGTACCTTACTAATGAAAATGAAGTGCTTTGTCCTCCGAGGGGACTGTTCACTTAACCGATAAAGTTCTGGGATATTCCTTGGGGCAATTTTCGTCAAAGTACAAAACATTCACGTCACGCACGTCGACTTCGGCACAAAATTGCAACACAAAACTTCTGACTTCGATTTTGTCGTCCAGTAATAAACTTAAAGTCGTGAAATTAATGTGATTAAAGTTTTCAGCTTATGAATCTAAACCATAGGTTGGCAAGTCTTGTGGGGCCCACTCAGACTCACGAAAATTTTCCCCAGTGAACTCATCCACGAAAATTTCCGTGAACCAGACTCACTTGGACTGAAAATCAGTAGAACATTACTCACCCGTACTCACTCAGACTGACGGCTTGTTAGCCCTGCGGCGGTGGTCTACTGGCTAAGATACTCGGCTGCTGACCCGCAGGTCGGGGGATCGAATCCCGGCTGCAGCGGCTGCATTTTTAATGAAGGCGGAAATGTTGTAGGCCCGTGTGCTCAGATTTGGGTGCACATTAATGGTGCATTCAGACGACGGACCGAATCCGGATTTGTCGTGGACGCGGACAGCTAATCCGCGGATGGTCCGCCTGCAGGCGCATCCACACGACGGACGGTGTCCTAAGGGAAAACAGCCGGATTACCCTCGACAGCAGATTCGGCGCTCACCTGCGCCCGCTCGCTGGCAGCAGACCGGTTTGAGAGTATTCAACATGGATGCCCGCAAGAAGCGAAGCTTGGCTGCGATGTCTGTCGCGTTGTGACAAATGAACGAGGAGTGTTATTCTTTCAGGAGAAAAGGTAGTTGCTGGCAGAATGTTCTTTCAACACCATTGTTCCCCACTTGTAGAACTTCTGAACGCGTCTCTTATCCGTTCTTAGAAGCGGCCCGTCACCGGTTGCAGAAGTTAGAATATTTCACCACCATGACGGCTAAGATTAATCTCGCATATTGAGTGACGGCGGCGACATTTCCCGAACCACCAAAAGTGATTTCTGCATATTTAATCACCTGAGAACAAAGTTTCCGGAAACTAAGTAAACAATGCTCAAGCGTAGATGTTGCCGACCAGTCATGCAGCTGTCCGCGAGCCATGGGGGACATGCCGCGAGCAGACGAAAAGTGTACTGGTTGCCACCGACCCCAAGCTATTCCGCTGAAGTACCGGCTCTCCCCCGCCAGAATCGCGATGTGAGAAACAGGTTGGGTTCATCCGTCCGCGAGCCCCGCGGACGAGTCGCGGACGAGGGGAATCGCTGATGTGAGGTCACGTGACGCGCCGTCCGTCCCGCCACATCGGGATTCGGTCCGTCGTCTGAATGCACCATAAAGAACCCCAGTTGGTCGAAGTTTCCGGAGCCCTCCACTACGGCGTCTCTCATAATCATATGGTGGTTTTTGGACGTTAAAGCCCACATGTCAATCAATCGATTTTACGGCTTGATCAGTCTGAGCGAGTGTGGGTGAGTCGACTCATGATTGAGTTCGCCAACCTACAGTGTAAATCAATTCATTCTTTTGCTTTAGTGTTCCTTTTAGACCCTTTAAAGCCAACGAACCTAGGTGTAGACCCCGTGTGCTTCTTCCTCACGCGCCACGCAGGGCCGTGTGGCGTACGAGAACCGCGGCGAGTGCTTCTTCCTGCCGTACACAGAGCAGGACGTCGAGGAAGGCTACACGCTGCACCAGAACGACAGCGTGCGCTTCTATCTGGCCACCTGCAAGGTGACTGGGGCCCCCTGCGCTAAGCTGGTGCGACCTGAGAACGCCCCCGCCAAGGGCTCACCGGAATCGCGGGCACCTCCGCGCAAGAGCCTGCCGTCGGCCTCGCCGTCTGGGCAGCGCAAGCAGGGCGTCGTCTGCGCCCTCAAGGACACTTTTGGCTTCATCGAGCGGGGAGACGTGGTCAAGGAGGTGAGAAAGGCGGCCATTTGCGGTAGTGGAGTCTCGGTGATTCAAGCTCGAGTCGACCTCAGCGTGTGGTTTTGAATTCATCAGATGTCCCCATAAATGCGACTCGGGGTAACTTGCAGATAGTGTCGAGATGTTTACCATTTCCCAGCCCTGCAGCTTCATCATGGACATATTGCCTGTAACGTTTTTGGACCAAGGGATCATACAACACTCGTTTTACAGAACGTGTGCAAGCGAGTGTAAATAAGGGATAAAATAGTGTGTCTCATAATAGCTTGTAGCACCCTCACATTCTAAAGACACTTCCTGGTGCAACAATTCACCGTGACGTAAGTGACCTGAAGGAACGCGCAGCTCCCAATAGATCAAGACCGGGCCTTTTATTTTTGTTTTCTTAGCTGTGCAATAGTTGATGCATGCATTCTGACTATTTTAGTTTTGTTGGTAGGCAGTCGACTTTATTTGTGACTTTTGTGATGTAGACACGAATGTTCTGCAAGAAGCAACAAAAGCAGCCGATGTTTCTTGGCCTGGCCAGGCAAGAATTTATAATTATTGGAATATGAGAGCATAGAGGTCCAACCATTAAGATTTGATTGAATTCACCAGAGGTTGGAATCATTAGCAGTTCACTGCATGTTGTAACACAGCGCATTGTGTCGCCTTTTCTCTCGTCATCGTGTCTCTGTGCTGTATGTTTGCAGTCACCAGTGTCAAATTCGTTGCCTGGCATCTTTGCAGATCTTTTCCATTCGATATCTTGACCGCACAAAAAAGACGAGGATAGAGGGACCTCGCTCGATGCTCGTCTTTTTTTTGTTTGTTTTTTGCGGTCAAGATGTTGAGAAGTAAGCACGAGCTAGGCCAAACTCGGGTTCTCCTGATGCTTGCAGATCTTCTTCCACTCAAGCGAGTGCAGCGACTTCCGAGCCCTCTCGCTGGGCGAGGACGTCGAGTTCACTGTGCAGCTGCGCAACAACAAGGAGGTGGCATGCAACATCACGCGCCTGGCGCCTGGCACGGTCATCTTCGAGGACGTCGACCCTGAGGTGCTCCAGGGCCGCGTGACGGTCGTGGCCGACAGGGGACGGCCGTCGCAGGCAGCCGCCGCGGATCCTCTGCCCGGACGCATCGTCTACTTGCGGGGCGAGGAGTAAGTGTCCGAAGAGGGTGCTGTTTCTGTACCTGCTTAAAATGCGTTTCCAAGCCGCCTCGCTAAAATCTGCAGATGCATCTTATGTTGCGACATTACCTTTGAACTTGCTCTATACGATATTTACTCGCATAATCTTCGCACTTTATTTTCGCGGAAAACCATTGCAAAGTTGGGGGGTGCGAGAATTACGCGGGGAAAACTTTCTACGAAAACGTACAGAGCGAAACAGAAAACGCAGGTCGGGATTCTCACGCCCGAACAATAAAAGCACAGGTTCAACACAAGGCAAGATTTATTTGAGACACAAAAGGCGCAATCAAATCATCGGGAATTAGAATACCGTACGCAAAGCTTGTGGGCGTTGTGGGTATAGCGTTAGCGTTCGTCGCTCAACAGGAGTCTGTAAAAGGTAAGCGAAGGACGTCACTATTGGGCTGATGGCCATTTAACAGAATCGACCGCAGTTGCCTTCTGAAGAAATAAAGTTAACCATCAATCCCAATCTTAGGCACGCGGAAGGCCCAGCACGTCTTGGTGGCTTTCAGCTGCCGTCACCAGTACCGAACACAAAACTGCTTTACTCCGAAGGCCCTGTTGCGGTTGTTCAGTGCACTGATCAATCACTTTCAACTTGAAAGCAGCCGTGTAGCTTCTGTATCACCTCATAACATAACAAGATTACAGACACAACATACAAATCACGCCGCAACGCGCACTTGGCACTTCGAATTAGATTGGATTGTATTTCAATGCAATAATAGTACGCTCTATGCTTAGGAGATGGCGCCAGACAGCGCACGCTATCATCATCAGTCGCTGGAACGAGCAGACAACATTATTGCAGCGATTTTCGGGGGTGCGATGATTACTCGAGGGAAAAAAAATCGTAGTTTTGTTGGCCAATGTCGGGGGTGCGAGAATTATGCGAGTACGAGGATCACGCGAGTAAATACGGTATTTTCTTCATGCTATATGCAACAAAACACAATACCTTTAAAGCGTGAGAAGTTTATTTGGTTTGCTGTTCTTATTATACTGTTAGTGTTTCTTTTTGTGGCTTTAAGTGGCCTCACTGGTTTTCGTTATTGTGTGCACTCTTAACCCTGTTTTAAAACCACTTTTCGGCAGAGAGCTGGAGATGCCTTACGGGGAACGCGATCCAAAGTGCGAGTACTCCCTTCAAGTTGGTGACCAAGTGCAGTTCAGCATCGCCACCGACCGCCGGGACGGTCTCCAGCGGGCCACCAACATTGAACTGCTCGACCAGTCGTTTGCTAACGAGGCCCGACAAGTGGTGAGCATGACCACATGTTGTTTTAAGTACACTCAAGTCTCGATACAACGAATTTGCATATGATGAATTACCGCTTATAGCAAATCGAGGAATAGCTGTGCAGTACAGTGGAACCCCTTCATAAGAGACACCAGGGTGCCTACCGTAAAATATGTGCTAATAAGAAAATGCATGCGTAGTGACCCTGCTTATAGACATCTCATATAGAAGACTAGAATTGCTGTCCTAAGCGTGCCCCTTATAAATAGGGTTCAACTGTAGATACAGTGTTGAAAATAATTGTTTATAACTAATTTTCGAATATACCAAAGTAATGTGATGGCAGATGTGACTTTGTTATAATGAAGTTTGAGTGTATGGCCAAAAGAAGTCATTCTTGACTATGTCATGTAAATTGGAGATTCAAGAGGGTTCTGTGGAGTTGTGTCGCTTTGCTATTCATCACGTTTGCACGGGGGCTGTGTTCATTACTACTCAGTGCTGTCAGTTTTCGGTAAAGTATTACAGCATTGGTTCCTATGTCACTGAAAGCTGCACGAAATCTACCGATTCATGATGATATGGCTCGTGCACACTTTCTGTAGTGAGGAAAGGCAACAGCATCTTTCCAAAGGGAACCCTGATGGAATGCGAAGCAGCCACATTGCGCACAGTGACGTGACAGTGTTGAACTGCGCTAATGCGGGTGCTGCGGTGAGCGCTGGAAGATTTCTTTGAAGCGATGACTGGCTTAGGTCTTGTCGTTTCTGCAGAGAGGACATGGGGGCTGGACTGCAGCTGGCACGCGTTTCGCCTCGACTCCACGACCTTGTGATCAGTGAAGTGCACGCTGAGAGGTTCTTGCTGACATTCGATGTCAAAGTTGGCACACACCAGATCGATGCATGTTCCCCTTATCGTGGTGGGTAGTTTTCGTTCCGCCGACACACACGTCAGCGAATGCACGTCAGTATGTAACCGACGAGCCATTGTCTTCCTTTTCCTCTGACGTCAACATTGAAGTCTCCCTGCGACTATAAGAGGCGCACGTCGACACGCCTCGCTGCAATTAGTCAGCATCTCCTTCAGACAGCTCTGTATCTGCTCCTTCGCAGGTTGAAAGCAAAGTACAGGGCGAGAATCGCAACATCGCCGATGAGCAAAGCAAGCGCACTTGGATAAAGAGTGTCTTCGAGAGGTTCCGGATTTTTCAACCAGGTCGCCTCCAGATTGGTCGGCCGATACCGGCACTTGCGGGCGGGCGTTCAGTGGAGGGGGTGCGACCCTTTCAAGACGTTGCCGGCATTGGCGTTCCGCTCGGCTTCCTTAGCTCACGTCTCGCCGGTGTTCCCCGTGCACCAGCTCCATTCTCGAATGCTATCCGCGTGCTTGACTGGTTGACTGGCACCTCCTTGGTGTCATTGGTCTTCCACTGCCTACGCTTGTGTTCGGCTTCCTTGACTCGTGCCTTGTCGGTGTTGTGGGCGGGCAAAGGAGCTCGCTTCCCATCGTTCTCTTCATCGCAGATAACAAGCCGAAGGAGTGTTCACTCGATGTGCGTTCGAATGTTGCAAGCGGTGAACAGGGTGAGGCGAGAGAGAGGTGACACGCGGGAAGGTGTGATCTACTTGGCGCCGCCCCAACACCTGCGGTGACGGGACTGGGAGCGCGGTGCAGCGCATTGGCACAGAGACTTGAAAGAGCTGCTTCGCATCTAAAAATCACGAGACGCCTCTTGATGTTTGTAGCTTTCGTTCTGGCGATGGATGTCGTCCTGGCTCCAGCCATAACCCAACCGAAGTGGCAAAGGGCAGCGCAAGATGTTTGGGTGCTGCTTTACGGAAAACTTTGGTTAGATTATACAAAAACTGGTCATTGTTATGGAACATTCTTATTTGCAGTGTGGAACTTAGTGCAGCATTGTGGAAAAGCTGTGTGCAGTGTTGTGGGACATTTCGGTGTCACTTTACAGAAATGGGTGCAGTGTGACAGAACAATTGTATGTTGCAATATGAAACTGTTGTTCGTAAGAGTGAGAAATGCTTTAGTCAACCGTCCTTCACTCTTTCAGATGAAGAGTACGACTGTCTGGCTGCCTGTACATGAGTAATGTTGTATTGTCACACATGTGCAAACATTTGTTGGCTAGTTTTCATGTATGTATGTTTCCATTTCGAAATGAACTTAGTTGCTGGTTCATCACTTACCGCATTTACTAGAATGTGTAGGGCATTTAGTAGAATCTGGGGAAAAAAACCCGCTACGTGTTTTTTTTTCCCAGACTTTGGCTACCCAAAGCTGACCCTCGTGTTACTGTCGCATAGCAAAATAAATGTTATTTACGACTACGGTGCTGTAGTAGTTCATAACCAGTATCGTAACGGCGTGCAATGAGGAGAAAGAAAGCTAAAGGAATATTTAGGATGGAAGTGGCATTCGAACCTGGGTCCTCTCAGTAGCAGCCCAGTAGTCTACCACAGAGCCATACCGCTCCTAGCAACTCCTCTGCACAAAACCCTAAGACCCTATACAAGTGTTTTGCCTGGAAGGAACTGCACTAAATTGCATTAGATAGCAGTGGTAAAAAGCAAAATAACACGAGGTGTTACACAATATAAATTGCAAAACAAGTGGTTCGTTGAGTGCTCAACCCATTACAAAGGGCCGAGCTATAATTTGTCAGTCAGCCACCTAATCGATTAAGAGGTGGCTAGGAGAAGCGGATGACTGCTGCAATTTTCAGCGGTGCGTGCAGAGGGAAAAAAACGTCATTTTCATTGGGCAGTGAGGAGGTTGCAAGAATTAGTAGTGCGATGATTGCGGAAGTAAATATAGCATTAGTGGTTGCATTACAGTCAAGTAAATACGGCATCTCGTTCACATGCCTTAATTGTTTTGTAGTTTATGTATACTAAGAGAATTTCACAGCTTTATGTCATTGAATAATGTTTTTAACTATGTCATCCTGTTAGCCCTGACACATATTGTGCCCCTGGGAAGTTGTGTTCTCATCATGTTGGTAGGGGCGTATTTTGCCATTGTCATTTTAATCTCAGTGCCACCAGAAGTGTGCCCTATGCCTTGTTTGTGTCTGTTGGTAAGATCATTTGGCAAGCCCGAAAGGGGTTGCCATAGCATCGGAGTGTTCTCGTTATAGCAGTGGCCACTGTTTCATTCTACATATGGGGAGTTGCCAACCAAGGCATGCTTGAAATTTTTGTCTAGTCATTGCCACGCTTGGCATTTTCACACCGTATCTCTTGGCTAGACTGGTGGCGATCTCGGGGCTCGACGTACTGGGGTGCCAACAGGTGCTGACCCTTGTTGCCAAATACCGCCGACCTAAAGTGCAAATAGTCATCCTGAGAAACACATTAGAAGCAGTGAGATTTAAAAGCAGTGAGATCGAATTTTCATGAAAATGATCTTCATTACAAGCAGTGAGAAGAAGCAGAAGTGCAGTAAGTTTTCTTATTTTTGAAAATATTTTTAATTATGAGAAGGGAATAGTACTGGTCTTATGGGAAGGCGAAAAATATTTATTAAGTATTTATTGTACAGCGAAATATGCACGAGGATGAATGTTGGTCCCCAGGTTAGCCTCCAGTATGCTTGCTACATATTTTGGCAGTGCACGAATAAAGTTTCTTGTGGGATCCGAACGTAGGATCGATTTCAATATTCACAGTATTTAGTCATGGACAGATTTGTGGTTGGAGTATGTGACGAGCACTAAAATAACCGTATCTTAAGGAGAAACGTCAATAAGCGCAAAAAATGCAACAGCAGACCAACAAATTTGTGAACGTCGTCATGGATTGTGGCATTTTCGGTTTCGAGGGTACGGCAGCTACGGCACAGTGGGCTCAACGGTCCGAAAATAACCAAAATAGCGGCCTCGATACTGACTTCGAGTCTGCGGTTATCTGTAATCGAAATTTTGACAGGTTGTCAAAGTGTTTGCCCCAGCAATACACCATGTTTGTTAATTTTTCATTTCTTCGAGCTTCTATGTTACCCTGAAGTTCTGCCTTTTTTAGACAGGTAGACTGGATAATTGTACAAGTGGCCTGGTAAGCAGAGGAGCCTAAGTCCGCATATAAAGAAACTGTCAACTCTAGTGGTGATAACTCGTTCATATTCATTGCCTTGTGTGGCGAAGTTATTACGCCCTACCGTAGAAACAAGTCCAATGGCAAGGAATCCTAGGAAGTGGCGAACTTTCCTTCTTTTCTCTTGTGCTCCTCTCTCTCGGCGCCCGTCGTAGGGTGTTGTGGCGACCGTGAAGGAAAGCTTTGGCTTTATAAGCTGCCAGGACCGCGACAGCCAGATCTACTTCAAGACCTGTGAACTGCTCGACCCGGACATGACTCTGCATTCGAGCGACGAGGTGGAGTTCACGGTGGCTCAAGTAAGGGACCCTCCACCGGCGCCCGCTGTTGCTGCACTCGACTTGCACATGCTTCCACACTGACGCACGTGCATGCTTGCGATCTCGGGGACGCTGCCTGCAACGCTTGTTGCAGCGACATGGAATGTTGCTTCGACAAATGGCTCTTTGCATGTCTCAATCTTCATTTAGGGAGAGCTGTTTGATGGACAAGTGCAGTAGACTCATTAGACAGAACCTGAAGGGACCAGGAAAATATCTTTTATTCTGCAGGAATATTTTTTATTCAGAGATGAACAGTGGTTCAGAATACATGTACAAAACCCATCATACTATTCGTGTAAGCAGCAGTTGCACTTGAAAGCTTTTTTTTTTACTAAGAATCTACTGTACATGCCCAGAAAGGTTTGTATGTTGTTACTACTAGCTGTTTTACAATGAAGTCTAGTACAGGATGGCATAGGGCAACACAAAAACGCAGTCCTACGTCATGTATTCACACCAGACCCCAAGTCCTCAGAGACTGAGTTACTTAGGGATGTTGAACCCTTCTTAAAGGAGCTCAGCAACACGTTTTGTGTATAGTCGGAAAACACTGCCCATTGGTAATTGAGGCTCCTGAACACGCAAGCCAAATATTATAGCACGGCACGCTTTGAGAATTTACAATAGTCTCAAAGTCAGCTAGAAATCACTTTATCTTTTCTCAACTGTGGGGCTGTATACTCAAAAATCGTATTGCAAGCCCGATTAACATGCCATAGGCAGATATGAGCATGGCGCGCTAGGGAACTACCGTAATTACTCGAATCAAACGCGCACCTTTTTTCCGGTTAAGCGAGTTCATAAGTCGCATGCGCGTTAGAATCGAGTACGGAAAAAAAAAAAAAGAAAATGAATGCGGTCATTCTATTGCCATCGACAATTCCAAAATGGCCGCCCCCTACGTGCGTCGGCATGGCGCGTCGGCCATTTCTGCCTATGTGTTTCCCTTGTGCAGCACTTCGTACGTGTGCTGAAGAGTGCGTCATCTTGTAGTGCATTAGCATCGACGGCATGGAAGGGCCGACTCCAAAAACTCGAGTGCACCACGATGCCGCTTTTAAAAGAAAAGTCATCGTGTGTGCCGAAACGGACGGAAATCGGGCCGCATCGCGGTTGTTCGGAGTTCCCGAAACGTGCGTGCGGGACTGGCATAAACAAAAGCAGAAGATTGTCAACAGCAGAGCTTCATGCAAAGGCTTCAGTGGACCGCAGCAGGGTCGGTTTCCGCAAAAAAAGAGCTGCTCGGCAAGTATGTGCTTCAGCACCGAGCGGCACAGCGGCCCGTGACGACAGAACTGCTCCAAGTGCGGTCTATGCAATTAGCCTTAGAAAAAGGTCTAATGCGGAGCCAGTTTAAAGCGAGCTGGTTCTGGCTAACTAACTTTATGAAGAGGAAAGGCTGTGTCCGAAGGGGAACGGGCATATGCGAAATGTTTTGTGGAGGAGTACGATGAAAAGCTTCACAGTTTTCAGAGGTTCGTCCTAAACTTTCGGCACAAAACGGCTACCTGCTTGGGCAAATCGGGAATGCCGATCAGACGCCTCTTTACTTCGACATGCCTGGCACCACAACCGTCGAGAAGAAGGGGCGAAGCAAGTTTGCGTGCAGACATCGGTCCACGGTAAAACTACAGGGACGGCAATGCTCTGTTACACCTCTGATGGGCACAAGGTTCGCCCGTACCTCATATTAAAATGGAAGACGCTCCTGAAAAGAGCTTTTCGAGTGGTGCGATCGTGCAGGCCAGCGAGAAAAATGGGTGCACGTTGCAGTCGATGTCTTATTTTTTTTTTTTATTTTTCCGTCGTGGAAATCGGGTGCGCGTTACAATCGAGGGCGCGGTAGAATCGAGTAAATACGGTACTAGGGCCAGCCGCGGGAGGCCTGCGACATGTCTCTATGTGCACACGTAAATGCACTGAAAAGCTGCGCATGTCTGCATGTGTGCAGGCGATCGCACTGAAAAGCCGCGGCGTGTCTGCATGTACGCATAGCGATCGTTCTGGAAAGCCGTGCATATAAGAAAGGTCACAGCTTTGCTGCAAAGGCAAAGCTACGAACACGATTGCAACGAATTGGAAGGTCATGCAAGGAATGCTAAACAGGTTGAAACGTGCCCCGCAGTTTTTCCTGCACAAATGACGCACGAAACGTTCTCACAGGTACAGATGAACGTGAATAAGCATCTCAGGTTGTTATGTCCGCTGTGTCTGAAGCGTCTCGGTTGTTACTTTGCTGTGTCTGAAAAGCTTGCCCTTTTCGCAAATGGAGACTGTGCAACGAGTGCAGTGACGTTTGTGTGCCCAGTAACTGCAACAGAATCGTTCCGGTGAAAGCCCAAGGCGTGCGATTGTCCCTACCCCGAGATAAGCGATAAACAGGCGTACCCGTGAGCGTCTCATCTCCATGGGCTAAAGTACACGCGGGAGATGAGAGCGCGCGCCGTTGCATTGTGACGATCTGGCGACACATGTTCATTTCACTATCTGAATGCTGTGGTAATGCTGAAAACATAATAGTTCCCCCATGATCGCCATAACAAGCGGTGAGTGGTAGATATAAATAGCTTGCCGTTTGAATGTCAAAGGAGGTGTTTCTTCGTGGCTCTGTGGCTACCGCCTCGCACTCACAATTCAGAGGTCGGGCGTTCGATTCTGTGGGCCGTAGTTCTTTTTTTCTTTTTTTTCCTATATATAGGTACGTATACATGTATGGTGAGTGACAGTGACGCCGACAGCAAAATCCAGTCGATAGTGTCCATATAATTGCTCTCGCTATAAAAGTGCTCAAGGTCATGAGGCATGTGTCGCGTACCTCCTCCTCTCGTGCGATCCCTCCCTGCTTATCTTCCAGCTTTTTAATCGGGACGAAAGAAGAAAAAAAAAGCAGTTGCAGTGTGTGACAAATATTTAACTCCGTTGGCTCGTAGTGGACAGATTCTAAAAATGTTTTTACGGTGGTCAATAGTCAGGCAATAAGCTCCTTTATTGATTCCATTGTATGGCTACTTAGAAAGAGGTTGCAGGGTTCCTGACATAAAATTTTTTCGCTGAGGCAGCTTGTGTAATCGATTCTTGTGAGCATGCCTATATCATCTACAGATCTCGACGGTAACTGCAGCTTTGAAGATAATTTATATGAATATTGTAGTTGGCGCACGTGATCCAGCACAGTACACTGCAGCTCATAACATTGATATTATACAAAGGGGCCTCAAGGTGGCCCGATCTTTTGCGTTGTCACGACTGCGACCAAGCTGTGAGCCGGTGCAGCTAAATAATGATGTCATAGCCACCATTGCCCTTTTTTCGGCACTTGTGCTAGTGGGCAGCCATTTAGCGACTGCTCACAAGTCCATGCCCTCGGCCAACACGTGGAATCCCCATGAAAGTTGTTGGCATGAGATGGCAATGATCATGACAGCAACCACATTACACGGGGCACGTGGCAGGGCAGAGAACACAAGCAGATAATACAGGCAGCGCGGAAGTGCATCAGTTTTATGGCAGCTTGTCATTCATGGAGTTCTTCCTAACTGGAACTTTCTTGCCGCTAATAATGCCCGTGTGCTCAGATTTGGGTGCACGTTAAAGAACCCCAGGTGTTCTAAATTTCCGAAGCCCTCCACTACGGCGTCTCATATTCATATAGTGGTTTTGGGACGTTGAACCCCACATATCAATCAATCAATCATCTTGCCGCTAATAAACAGACTTATTAACTCTCCCACGTTGTAGGAAGAAATGTGTCCTGTTAGGCCTAATATGCCTCCAGCAACACATTGCAGCAGAGAAACTGCCACACAGAAGATTTTTGAGCGTCTCTGTAAACCAAGCTAAACCCAGTCTTTACTGATGTTGTTGTATTTGGAAAGGCATGTTAAGTTGCCATACTCTGCAACTCTGCTAATACCGTATTTACTCGCGTATTGAACCCACTCACATAATGAACCCACCCCAACCTTGATCCTTGAAAAAAAAAAAAAGGAAAAATATTTTTTCACATGTATCTGTTCATTTTATTTCGGTATGATAGCCAGTATCATTAATGAACAAAACAACTTTAAATCAAGCCATTGTATGACAAAATAACAATGAAATGAAAGCAAAGGATAGTTATGCAATCATGCTAAACATTTGCTAGCGCGGGCGACATAAATGAAAATATGAAAGCATGCCTTGTATGGCAAAACACCATCTATAGAATGCAGGAGAAACCTCTTTGCTGATAGCGCCATGCAAACACAGCGGCACAAAAGCAAAGCACGTGGCGTCCAAAATGGAGGTCACGCTGCGTCATGGAACACGCCGCGCGCTCGCCATCTCGGACCTATGCAAAGCGCAACCGCACCCACCGCGCCGATGGCGTGTTGTGCACCCGCAACATCTAATACGTTTGTGCGCCGCTATCCAACGCTTTGTTTTCGTTTCTGGATTTGTCATTGCGAACTTAGTTGGGACACCTCTGCGTAGGGCGCGTTCGGCCGGTACGCTAGCTCTAACAGCATGCGCTGGATCATTGGAACCGAATGGCTGGACGACACTTCGGTGTCGATCCATGCACTTTCATTACGGGACGAAACAAAAAGAGCTTCGGGCTACAAAGAAAATTTGTTGCGCATTTCACAGGTCTAAACAAGCTAAGTCGTTACCCAATATTTTCGCTGTTATAATTCCCGTGACTTTTTTCTCCCGTGTAACGAACCCTCCCCCTAAATTGGCATCAACTTTTCTGGAAAAAAGGTGTGTTTATTACAGGAGTAATATCGGTATATAAAAACTGCATGCTGCAGCAAAATCGATATATTCCACAATACAAAAACTGCCTTGAATGCCACGCTACAGTACAAGCTCATGTTTGTATTGAAGTGCGCATTTTGCATGAAGTGCAAGAAAATATGAATCATGTGCCTCTTAATCTCTTTTCATGTTGCACGCGGTGGTGGTGTAGGTTCTAGTGAGGTAGCAGGTTGGGCGAGGCTGTTGTTTGAGCTGGCCATCTTGGTATTGGTTGTACACATAAGGCTTAGGGGGTGACACTGAGACGTTTTCTTATGAAGCCTCGTCAAGAATTCTCATTAACTGTTTGCTGCAAGGCATGCTTCTGCACATCTGCCTCCTGTGATCGGGTGGTGCTTGTTGCGGGTGTGATTGTCTCTAATTGCAGCATCAGCTGCATGGATGGCTAATGTGATAGTTATATTGTGCTTGCCAATTCGCGAAGAGCTCTGGAGTGGTTTTATGGAGCCTGCCCATTGCTGACGCTGCTTGTTTGGGGCAACCTTGCCTGTTGTGTACAGACTGCGTGACTACGCTCAATGCAATAAAATATGGTGTTCTACAATGCACAAAGTATTACCTTATTGTTTATTCCAGTCTTAAATTTAGAGTCTTGTGCTATCAACTATTCATCTGTATGCCATTTGTACATCTTTGGGACGTGGTTATTTGTCTATTGTTGCCACGAAGAAAGAAATTGTCTCCTTAATGTCGTTGATTAGTAATGTACATACAGAAAAAATTATTTTTATGGTCAAGTGAAGCAGCTAAACAAGTGTACTAGCTTTCATCAATTTTGCTTAGAAAACAAGTAAACACCGCTTTAAAAGGGCACTAAGAGCAAAGAACATTTTAGGTCACCGTAAAAGGTCACTGCTGGGGTACAATCAATACAGCAGTGGTTTTACTTATCCGAGAAATTAAGGCGAACGTAGGACGTGATTAGTGCCACCAGTGGGACATTCTGAAACATAAGCGTGAAAGCGTAGTAGGACCCTAGTACAATTAACCACAAATATTCAAGCCACTCATGAAAAGAAAAGAATAAATGCGTTACAACACTGAATAAAGTACGAGACAGAACAAGTGCAAAAAGGGCATGCCCAAATTTAGGTGCCCTTACATGTTTGTATTGTGACACCAGCTTTTTATTGTCAGTAATCACTGCTTCATTTTCTTTTCACTGAATCTAGGATCCCGCATCTCCCAGTCGTTTCTTGGCCACCCGAATTCGCCGCCTGTGGTCCGTGTGCGATGATCAAGACGGCCCTCGCACGAGGCGCTCGCTCTCCAACGGCGATGGGTCTGCCGTCAATGGCGACGAGTCCAAGAACTTAAGAAACAGGGTGAGGTCCAGCGACTGCGAATAAATGCAGGGCCTTAGGTACCAAAAAAAAAAAAGACAAAACATTTTGTGAAGTGCTCATGCGTCAACTCATATCACCAAACGTGGAAATATTTGTTTCTAATTTTATGGACACAATGTTCATAATACTTGCTATTATGAAAGTGTAAACGAAAAGGCATTTCATGCACCTGGAAACATTTTGCACTGAAGCCATGATACATGTTGCATAGAAGAGTTTCAAACCATTTCTGATGATTTTTGAATACTTCGAATTGCACATTGAGTTGATAACGCTGTCATGATCAACAATGCCAAAGTAGGCAGTGCTACATGGTGAGGCCACGTGTGCCTAGCAGTTTGATTTTGAGAAAGTCTCTTCTCCTCTCTGTACTTTTCGGTATCCCCTCGCTAACCATGACATCCCGTTCTTGTCAGCTTGGGCTATCGACTAGAAAGAACCTGTTTTTTCGCAGTGTATGTGCACTCCTAGCGCTTCCTCACTCGGTGAGTCGGAGCACTTGGCCAAGGGGAGAGATGAGGCGACGAACGAAGCATGTGGAAGGGAAAACCAGAATAAGCTAGGACCTCGTTAGTATCATCGAACACGTTGAACTCCGCTATTACGATGTCATTTCATAAAACTGTCACGGCTACCTGTTCATTTAGGTTTGCGCACAACTGCAACACCACAACTAAATTTTGACCTCTGGGTGGTTCAGGGGTACCTTTAGTACATTGTGTACATACTGTCGCAGTGCACTTTTCATATGTTTCAGGAAAGCAACAGAACGAGGCTGAACTACGAAATCTTACCTAACGCGAAGAAAACTCTCAAAGTTTGCATAGTATGATGTGCAGCGGTGTTTGCACTCAGGTGATGAAACGGCACTATGGAGTGTGCTGGAGCGTTCATGTCCATGCCAGTCGAGATGCTCGATTCGAATCTGCGACCAAAGTGCAGTGTGAATGTTCTGTGTACTGTTAAGCTTCACCACATATGTGTGGTAAAGATTTCACATTTCTATCTTGTTTTTCTTGGTTTGATGTGACCAGTCAAAAGTGCACCACGACTTCACAGACACACTGTATGCCTGAAGCGTTCTAGGGAATGTTTTACCCAATTCGCAATACTTGTGACATCGTTTTATGTGCAAACAGCGTTTGGTTGAGCTTACAAATTCTTGGAGTGTATTGCTATACATCTAATCCGCTACGCTGTCGATCACTCTATGCAGGGAGAGTCTGGCAAAGGCCGTGGTGGACGAAATGGATTCCGGTACACGCACCGTGGCTACATAGCGGCGTTGAAAGAAAGCTTTGGCTTTATTGAAAATGAAGAGCACAACCAGGACGTATTCTTCCATTTCAGGTATGCACTGTGCAACTGTGCACTGTGAGATACCTAACCGGCGCTTTCTACAGAGACATGCGTTTTAAACCACTGTAAATACCCACGTATAATACAAGGGTCTTTTCAAATATTAGCGTTCCAAATGTCCGCTTCGTGCTATGGCGGATCCGAACAAAAACTTGCTCGAAAAACGAAATTGTGCTTGGAAGTTTCGGTTTTGTAACTGCCGCTTGGCTAGGCTTCGCTTTGTCTACGAGTGGCTACGGCTTGGCTTTGTTATCTTCAGCGCCGTCGCATGTCAGTAGTGAGCGCTAGCGCCATTTCTTTCTTTGTTGTTGAGCATTTGGGTGCTTGGACAGCGGACGGGGGACGTGTGAACCTCGCTGTGTTCTGTGCCTCACTTCACAAAGGTGCAACATGCCAGGGCATCGAAACCAGTTCTCAGGCTGCATTCAAAAGAAAGGTCATCGCAGCTGCCGAGGAAATCGGCAAGAGTGCGGCCGGAAGACAGTTCGGAGTCACCGAGGGAAGTGTCCGTGGATGGCGACGACAGAAAGAAGCGCTTTTCGCGCGCTACAAAAAGCGGAAAAGTTTTCGCGGTCCAAAGAAAGGGGCCTTCCCAGAGATTGAACTCTCACTGGCAGAGTTTGTTCGACAGCAGTGGGCAGCGCACTTGCCGGTCAACATTGAGCTGATGCAGATGAAAGCGAGGGAGCTGGCGTGAGAAAAGGGGGTTGTTGAGCTCGGACTTCAAAGCCAGCAAGCACTGAATCTACCGTTACATGTGCCAAGCCGGATTTTCCCTACGCCGGCGAACCTCCATTTCTCAGAAGCTCCCTGAAGCCTTTGAAGAGCTTCATATCTCATTTCAACCCCATGTGATTACGTTGCGTCACTCGCAGAACTTCCAGCTGGGACAAATCGGCAACGCCGATCAAACGCTAGTTTACCTGGACATGCCATCGCCCCTTACAGTTCATGAGAAGGGCTCGAAGCAGGTTAGTGTCCGTACCTCCGGCAATGAAAAAACGCGTGTCACAGTGATGTTATTGTGCACGACGGACGGCCACAAACTCCCACCTTATGTCTTCAAGTGCAAGACAATGCCGAAAGGGGAGGAGCTACCGAAGAATGTCATCGTGAGATGTCACGATAAAGGCTGTATGAATGAAGACCTTGTCCTAGACTGGGTAAAGTCCGTGTAGTGCAGACTGCCTGGTGCCCTGCCATCTTTTCCTTCCGTTCTGGTGCTGGACGCGTTTCGCTGCCATTTGGCCGAGTCAGTGAAGAGGCTCTTGCGCGACTGCGGCACAGAACTGGTCGTGGTCCCGGGTGGGATGACCTCTCAACTGCAGCCTCTCTACGTTTGTGTAAATAAGCCGTTCAAGGATGCGGTTATGCATTGCTACGCCGATTTGTCTGACAAGGAAATCTCTGAGGAAAGCGCAGTTGAAGACGACAGCGATTGACATTGCGGATGTGTGCTCAATGAATGTGTTTTTGGTGCCCTTTCCTACATTGTTTTATGCGCAGGCACAATTTTTTTTTTTTTCATTTCGCGCCTCTAGAATTTGGCCTCGTATTGTATTCGGGTTCGTATAATATGCGGGTATTTATGACAATATGCACTAGGTTGATATAATACTGGTGAACCCTTTTATAAGAAACATAAACTGGGGAGCAGTTCTTGTCTTGCATATGAGCTGTCTTTATAAGCATGGCACCATTTACGCATTGCCTTATCAACCCCCATATTAATGTATTCACACAGGTGTCTTTTATACCGATTTGTCTGCTACGCCAGTGTCTCTTATGGAGGGCTCCGACAGTAGATTGGTTATTGAATTAAAATTATAGGCACCTTTTTTCGGGGGATGCATATTTCTTGCTCATCCCACCCAACCCTTTGTTGTGTCTGCAGCGTGTTTGAGGGCAACCCACAAACCCTGGAGCCTGGCCAAGAAGTGGAGTATGGAATGGTGCTCAAGGGCACCAAGCGCAGCGCCGAGTGCGTGCGCAAGCTCCCAGCTGGCACCCTCGCCGATCCCCAGGAGGTCGTGAAGCCTGAAATTCTCAACGGCACCGTCGAGCGCCCCGTGCGTTGCTTTAACCCGGATCAGGAGCAGTATGCAGGACTCATCCGCCTCAGCACTTCAGGTGAGTCAGCCGTGAGCAAGAGAAGAGAAGCGAGATTGGTAAAAGCGAACACGCTGAACATGAGATAACAGGGCCCTCACACATACATATCTGCTCAGCTGTTTCCAAGCGTTCTTTGATGCGCACACAGTTGCGTTCATTCAAGTTGCAGGGCTTCGCACTGTTTGACGCTCTTCAAAACAGATCGCTGACGCACCCTGTTGTCGGGCGTTAAGCTTTATTCAATGCAACAATGATTGATCACAGCCGTGTATCGACCAGACACTTGAATGGGCTTAAGGGGGCAGACTGGTCTTTGGGACCAAAAAGTCACAAAAAAAAAAATCATTTTTTAAAATTCACAAATTTGGTTTCTGCAAGTAATTTTATATATCTTTGCAAATTTTCACATACCAGTAAGTGGTAATTTTTTTGTAATGTCATTCTAACTGTCCAGATTCTCGGTGCTGTTAACATGCAGAACCTGCAAAAAAAATTGGGAACTGACTTAGAGGTTTCTTTATAATTTGCCGGCAACTGTGTTAGAAGCTCTGCTAGATATTTCTGAACGCTTTATGAGGATTGAAAAGCATGCGTACCATGATTGTTGCGCTTTGAAGAAGCTGTGTGTTTTCAGTTTTTTTTTTTCATTTTCTTAAAAAAGTAAATTTACGACTGTTGAATTTTGAGGCCTCAATATCTCTGCAGCTAGGGCAGGTACAACATTAATTCTTTTTTCAATGGAAACCTGCATGTGTGTAGAATGCAAGTATGGGAGCAGAAATTCAGAGCACAAGCCATTTTATTTAATTACTCATGAAAAATTGTAAGACAATTCCAACTGCTTTGAAAATGGATAGTTAATTTTGCTGTAAAATAGCCAAGAAAGGCCTAAAAACAACAAAAAAAACCTCTTGCATACCTTCAGTCTATAGTAATTAGTATATGTTGGCATATCTTAAATATCACTTTTAATTAAGCTTTTTTATGGCGGCCTTAAACAATAGAGGGTGAACTTCAGTTAGCTCAGAAACTCGATAAGTTAACAGGAAAACTGAATAAATATTTGAAATCAGCAGAAAGAGCTGCATAATTTTGTGCAGTTTGATCAAGATCCCTGAAGAAATAAACAAAAAAAAAAGTTCAAGAACATTCTGCCCCCTTGAGTATAGGTACGTGACTGCGCGTCTTTTTCGTAACTGGCGTGCTTCGTTCACTTTAGTTTTTTTTCTTGAAAAGGAACATCTAGGCTGATTTCGGTGCCAAATTGCTGCCCTGTCATTTCAGGAGCGCAAAGAGCTCGACGTTTTTGTTACTTGCGTGCAGGGGAGAGTGCAGAGCCCACCGCCAGCTACCCGTTTGGCATCACCAGCCTGGCGGATAAGCACGAGCTGCTCCAGAAGAACGATGTGGTGCAGTTCCAGGTTGCCGTCACCGGATCGGGTGTGGAACGAGCCGTCAACGTTGTGGCTGTGCGAGCTCGAGTGCAGGTCAGCGTGGGGGCATTCTTGTTGTCTTCTTTCTCGCTGTATGGTGGAAGTCTTCGCTTACCACTTCTGGCAAACGCAATCTGGAAATACTAATTAGGGTTTTAAATGGACACTAAAGGAAACTATTATGTCGACGGTGATTCTTGAAACGGCGGTCCAGAAACCTCGTAGTGTTACTTTTGTGCCAAGGAAGGGCTTATTCTGAAATATAATCGTGTTATAATGGGTTAGCGCTCTTCAAATTACTTGCCTCGAGTGCAACGCGTTGCGTCACTTGCCGTGAATGTCGCCCTGAGCTTCAGTTCTGAGAATGCATCAAAATGACTATGTTTACGGTATAGCAATAAATATCTGAGCCTGGAATTGCTTTGTGAAATTTTTAAAGCGGGTCAGCAGAAAAAACAGTGTTCGTTGTGGCGACGATACTTATGCATTGACTCCTATAGACTGCTGACAGGGAACCGTGCATTTTTCGTTTAAGCGGCGTACGTTGTAGCTGAGTTCGACTGTACCTAAATTTTCATTGTTTATGCGAGAAATAATGTAATTACTCATTATCTCGGGAATTAATTCATTTACATAAAATATACCTGGATAGTTAAAATAAGCTAAAAAAACTGAACAAGGCTGTGCAGTTTCACCTAATTTGGTGAAGAAATAACCCATATTGTTTTTAAAACCCATGACTCGCCTTAAAAAATAAAGACGTCACAGCATAGAGAATTCACTGGGTAATAAATGCAACAGACTTTATGAAAATTTGTCAAGCCATGGTCACGCTATGCTCTGTGCAAGTGGTTCTGTCGGGTCAAAACACACTTGGCACTAAAGTTTCACAGCCACTATACGTAAAAAACAATGCCCTGGGGCTGTAATACTTGTTGTCTTTGCCTTCAGGCATCTTCTTGTGCCCTTGCTTTCTCATTTTTTTTTGCACCACATATTATTTTTTCCTTGCTGGTCATTTTTGCCAGCTTTTTGAATGGTGGCCTGCCAGGTTTGATTACCACTTTGATATAACAAGTCTGTAAGCATGCACTATGAGGCGTGCTGTGGCAGTTATTATGGCCAAATCTTTGGTGACACAGGAACTTAAGAGAATTTTACTTGATGCAAGTTTGGCAAATAAAAACTCGTCCCCTCTTCCAAACAAGTTCATTTTTCACCCTCGCCCTGATACACTTCATTATTTCAGTACATTTATAAACACTTGCTGCTATACCAAGCACAGCTTTGAAATGTGCTTATTTACTTCAACGTGGAGTGTGTGTATTCCCGACCAATCGCTCAGCCGTGGGGTCCGGGAAGTCAATACCCGATATGCTGGATGGCGGCATTCAACGCGGCTGCGCAATATGCCTAGCCACAGCGACGAAACATCCTCATGCTATTATGTGCTTTACCTCTCGTTTTGGAGGGCTGACAAGCAACATTGCTCTGAGGCTTCGAGCGATCGTTGGGTGATGAGCATGGCCGTGATTACTTGCTTCACGGCTGTAGGGTCTGCTGCAGGCGCGTAAAGTGCAGATTCCCGATTCCGAGGCAACATTGTAAGTCCTGCGGTATGATTTATTGCTTTCGATGAAGTACATTGCAGCTTGTTCCCTTTCGCATGTCTGCTAGCACGATGCTCTTCCCGCGAAGTTGGGATTCCACTTGAATAACGTTATCGTGAGTGGAGTGAAGCCAGTTATGCCTAACCACGACTTCAAGTTGTTAGCCCGATCGCGGTACCTCTTTCAAGATACGCCATGTTAGACCGATAGTACAAAGGGTGGTCCCATTGCCCGCAGTGATCTTCATCACCGCCTCGGAGATGCCGGTGGGCAGAACAGCGAGTTCAAAAAGAGAATCACTACAGGTTTGAGGCGTGCTTCGTGATGTTCGCGACGGTAGCATTTGCTACTGTAGTCCGATGGCTGAGTTTCTTGGAGAATCTGCTTAAGCGTGATTATTATCGATCCGCGAAGACAGAACGAGTCGGAATGTGACCAAGTAGTCTGGTTTTCAACAGCCGTGATCTCGCGACGCGGAAGCTGCAGACACGCGTGCGCAGCGGCCGTCGGGACCAATGGCGTGTCGTGCTTGAGCATCTTGGGGGCCTCGAGACGGCCTTCAGGCATTTGCTTTTTGCGCGCTTGTGATTAAAGAGAGGAGCCAGCTAAGGCAAGAAATTCAAGCAGGGAGAAATTCTCTTTCCGACGAGCCTAAGATCGCCGTGCCTGGTTGCGCTGTCGCCGAGCAATAACTTTCGCCACCTCTGCAGGCGCAATAATTCTTAAACGCACTTCTGCATGGTTTTCAGTGAAGGTGTTTGGAAAGAACTAGAAGAAGGGCTACAGATTTTGAAAAGGAGATTTTCAGAACATAGATGTTTTTTGCAATTTGATCCCCGCGGCCCCTTGGACACTTGTCTTATTTTTTTATTTTGAGTATTTAGAGCTGAAATTTTTATGTGGTATGCATTCCTCACAGCTGGAAACAAATATGCAATTACTTTTCAGCTGTCACTTCCAGATTTTAAAATATTGTAAGGAAGAGGAAGTACTCCGGCGCAGAGGCAGCAGCATCGATAACAGAAACAGCTGCACCGGTATCTACAAGAGTGACAGTAGGGATATTTTCGACGAACACATCAATAACATTGGTAGGTGACAAATGAGGACTTGGGAAAACCGAAACTTGCGCAGTTCTTGCCTCGGGAACTGCGTGGTTTAGTTTTCCTCCTCGTTAGACGCGGACCGTCGATGCATAGGAGAAGGCGAGCGGCGGTGTGGAGAGGGCGAGCGAAGACGTCCCGGCCGAGGGCGATGGTCGTCCTGGTAGCGTGCTGGCATTGGAGTGGAGGAACCGTATTGCGCGTTGGAGTCAAGCGGGAAGAAAGGCTCACGGCGGTTTTCATCGGTGATATGCGTCCGGCGGCGGCAATACCTCGCGACGTGTCTGGGGTATCGACAAGCGTAACATATCGGGCGATTGTCGAGGGTGCGCCACAAGTTGGCGGTGTTAGTGCTGGTCTGGTGAACTGGAGCTGGGGGATAGCTCGCGCGAGGCTGGAACGGAGGCGCAGGCGCCTTGCGAGTTGGCACGGCTGCAGCCGCGGCGTAGGTGAGAGGAGCAGCCACAAGATTATGCTCGCGAGCAGCAGGTAAGGCCTCGGCGACCTCTCCTTGAATGACGCCTCGAAGAGACGACGGTAAAGTTGTCGTAGGTTCTGGTGTGAAGGGCACCAAGGAAAGCTGTCGTGCGACTTCTTGGCGGACAAATGCTTTTATTTCGGCTCTTAGTGACACTTGGCCGTGACCATTGATCACACTAGACAGTGATGCCAAATCGTGCGCTGGAGGACGTCTTGTCAGAGCTCGCTGCTTCCGCAATTCATCGTAGCTTTGGCAGAGGCTAATTACGTCGTTAACAGTGGTCGGGCTTTTCGCCAAGAGCATTTGAAAAGCCTCGTCGTCAATCCCTTTGAGGATGTGCTTACATTTTTCTGCTCCCGTCATTGCGGCGTTCACGGGTCTGCGCAAATCGACGACGTCTTCTATGTAACTAGTGAAGGTTTCACCCGTTTCTTGTGCGCGTGTGCGTAAAGGCTGCATGGCATGAAGTTTTCGGGCGGCAGGTCGATCGAAGACTGCTGCAATCGACGCTTTAAATTGCGGCCACGTTCGGACGTCTGCCTCGTGGTTTCCAAGCCAAAGGCTGGCTACACACGCGAGGTAGATTGCAGCAAATTATATATGACATTGTTTTGTGAAGAACAAGGAGTGCAAGAAAACTAATTTTATTTCTAGCTTCATTGGTTAAAGCGTTATGGCCTTAACAAGTAGACTTATCAGAAATCTAAAACTTGCTTAAATTATATCACTAAACAATCACTGTTCTTAATAAAATTATAACAATTTTTGGTCCTGTTGCACTTATCATTGTATAAGCTTTTAAATGCTGCAAAAATTACCAAATCTAACCACTAGATCAAATGACACTGTGGGAAATGGCCTCGGACGTGATGAAAATTGTGTTTTGAGAAAACGAGAAAAGAAGTTTAGGGGACACGGTGAGCATGTATATTAAACAAGTAATGGTTTAAATCAGTGCAGTAACGATGCTAGAAGCCACCAGGAGTGTAGTCATCATTCTTTGTCCGCTTCCTTTTCATTGCACGCCAGATGTTTCCAGAGTTTCCATGTATACAGCGTTTTGATGGTGCTCCCGCAGTCGTCGGTAACGTGCGAGGCAGCCGTCTACTAGGCAGGAATCATTCCCACTTTCACGTAATCTTTATATGCCTTTGCATCTCCCGTGAAACATACAGGGTGGAAATGCAATTCAACGCAGTTTGCAGTTTGTCCATTTGCTGGTCCGCACGAACCGCGAGCACGTTGATCTCGGAACAGGCCGCGAGCACCTCATTTCCTTCCCCCCTCTCACTCTCAGCGAGCTCCGTACAAATTTCAGTTCCTCACCCTCATCACACGTCAGCGCAAGTTTCCGGGCGATGCCATATTCCCGATCTTTCTCGGAAATGCTGTCAGGCCCGGCACACACATCACATACAGTGAAGCAGTTCATTCATTATCGTTAAACTTGACGGTGAACAGCGTTCCAGTGGTTGCGATCTCTTCCGAGTCTTGAAAAACAGACCGCTCGCGTCATAAGGCTGACGTCGACAAAAGGTCTCTCTGAATGTCACTCGCACGACAAGCAAGGGCCACTTTCCAGCGTCGAAAACCGAAGGAGTGCCGACGCGCAGGTCTCGTGTGTGACCGTTGGCCCCGGCTATCGCATCCGTGATCGCGGGAGCCGCGTTCGTGATCGCGTTGGCACAGCCAGCTTTTTCCATGTTCTCGGTGGCAGATGGTTTCGCTTATAGGACGGTGCATGCTCTCAGATGCTGTTTTCGCTTCTTTTCGATCGCATGAGCAGTATGGAACTTTCGATGACCACCTGCTATCACACCGATCGCACAGCCATCGCTTAGGCCTCATCAGAAAATGGAG